CTTGAAGCAGGACAGTCCCACAATATTCTTTTTCCTGTCTCTTGCTTTCATTCACCACCCCCTTCTTTTTGAACAACCATCTACCAGAGAGATAGCATAGCAGCAACTGGCATGTCATGACAAGTAGCCTGTATTCAGAAGACCAGAATGACAGGCACTCCAAACATGAAACTACTATTAGGACTTGCCTATTTAGAGGCACAGAAGCTGGAGTGGGTCCGCATCAACAGCAAATTTTTTTTTTTTTGGTGGAACTGGGGATTCAACTCAGGTGCCTGCATCTGTGGCCTTGGATGGGCATTGCATCAGGCCCCATTCACCTCCTCGCAGGCCGCCTACTGAGCATGTGGAGGGGAAGCCCTGAGCACCAGCCACCTTAATTCCACTGCAGTCTCCAGGTCTGACAGTTTTGAGGTACTCTGCTGCCTAAAAGCCCGGGCACCTGCCCACCCCGCCTGAGCTTCCCACACTCCGAGCTCTGGCTGCTCCCGCCCTGGGGACTCTGCCCGCTCACTTACTTCATCACATCCTCGCACGGCACCCAAAGCAACCTAAAGCTTCCACTCTGCACAGCTATCTCTAAGCCAGCTCACTCAGACCCACAAAGAGAACCAAACAAGTCCAAACAAGATGGAAATTGTGTCCATCTGTCATGAATGAGGGTCACCAGCTGGAATGAGTCGGGATCTTAGGTCAGGTTCCCCTAAGACACGAGGTGTAGACGATGTCCCGAGACTCCTGGAAATATTTACTCACATAGGCTGTGAAAAACTTCGGTTAAACAACTGAACATGTTGATAAATAAACTAAAACTTACATAATTCTTTCTATGCTCTTAAGCTCTTGTTCCACAAAGAGAAATTCATTTGTCTTGGGAGGGCATAAGCACAGAGGGCTGGAGCACCTCCCAGGCTGGCCCTGACCGCCCATACCACCACGAACACAATGACTTCCCCTTGGCAGAGCTGCCCGCCTGGTCTCAGCAGGGTGCTGGCTGGAGCGCTCCCTCACGGCCCAGCACCCACAAGGGAGAGGTGAAGACAGCCCGCATCTCTAGGCTCTTGGGATAGAAATCTAAGCAATTCTGAGGGATGTATGAAACAAATGTGCTGCCCAGTCTCGCCTCCTTTTAGATTTTAAAGTTTCAGTGGCTCATGTTTTCAGTACATACATAATGACTACATCTACTGTGAGGAGCAGGTACACATACATTTCCTTTTTACAATATACACTTAAGGAGAGCCAGTGACACAGTCCATTAGCCCAAGGTACTTACGTAACACAGTCTACCTTTTCTAGTGATACCTAAGCAGAAGGATGAAGACTCCTGTCACATGGAAGGCTGTTTCACTCAGACACCTCCACAGGATCACATGGGGAGGCCTCACCGTCCCCAAGAGAGTGGCGTCCTCAGCTGACAAGGGCAGGCAGAAAGGCCTACCTTTTCCCGCTGGTTGAGGGCATGTGAGGCGGTGGCCGTCATGCACAGCAGGATCTGCAGGATCTTTGGTAAGTAGGTGCTGATGAGGTGGCTGATGTTCCTCAGCACGATCTCCAGGCTGTTCAAGACACCGTGTTGACGGCCCAACGGGAGGACTCGGGACAGATCCAGGTCTTCGATGGCTCGTAGGACGGCGGCATTACACTCTCCTGTGAGCAGAAGGTGAGAAGGGCACAGTGAGGCGCTGGGGTCATGGTTTCCTGCAGATGCCCTTGCAGGGCAGGTCTGCGACCGTGGATGAGGCTTGGAGGGGATCACAGACCCTCCGCATTGCACATCTCCTGGTGCTTCGCCGCTCGGCACTGAGAGGGCAGTGTCCAGCACCATATGCCCTTGCAGACGAGGAAACTGAAGAATGGGGTAAGAAGCCTGTCACAGGCCTCTAAGCCTTTCTGTTCCACTTTCATTTCATGGGGCTGGGGACATGGCTCTCGGTGGAATAAGCGCTTCCCTGGCAAGCGCAAGGGCCTGAGTTCAATCCCTGGTTCCGAAGAAAAAAGAAAAAAAAAAAAAAAAACAAAAAAAAAAACAAACAACAAACCACAGAAGAGCGATCTCATTTCATGGCCACAGAAGACGGAGCTCCACAGTCTTTCCTTTGGGCAGCTCAGGCACAGCGCTATGCTGGGCACCGAAGAGTCACAGAAAATGCCTTGCTGTATGAGCTGAGAACTAAAATGTTGAGACTGGCGTGGTGGTGCGCACCTGTAATCCCAGCTCTGGAGAGCACGTAAACAGGCGAATCACTATGAGTCTGATCTAGTAGTGAGACCCTGAACACCCTGTAGGCCCTTCCCTAAAAATATAAAAACAAAAACAAAAACAAACAAAAAAAACAACAAACCAGTTTTATTTCTCTGGTGCTCTTTGGTTAATAAATAAAGCAAGTCCCTAATGGAAAAAACAAAACAATAACCTCCCACAATATTGATTTCAGAATTTACTGGAAAAGATCTGAGCTGTTACTGCTTCATTTGTTATTGTTCTGCTTGTTTTCTGCAGGACCAAGGATTGAAACTAGGGCTTTTGCTGAGCTACATGCCCACCCCTTTTTCTATTATGTATTTCAAGACAGGTAAGTGGCCCAGGCTGGGCTCACACTTGTGATTCTCCTGCCTCACCCTCTCAGAGCACAAGTATTACGCGCATGTACCACCATACCTGGCTTTAATTTCCTCTTTAATCACTCTCTCTTTCTTAAGACAGTCTCATTATAGACAGTTTCAAACTCATGTGTTGAAGTGATCTTCCGGCTCAGCCTCTGTGGTAGCTGAGACTACAGACATTTCCAGTCATAGCTAGCTTTAAGTTTTACATAAACCATTCGTAAGGAGACCATGAGCCTCCTAGTCCATACACCTAACTGGCCCATCTAGGACTGTATCTAGCCCCCCAGATTGGAGGTTATATACTGGACAAAAATATTCGTGTTCATTACAGCCAACCTCCTTCACGGGCAGCATTATATAGATGAAAACCCGTTGGCCTGGTGGGCCTATCATTGTAGAAAAAATACGGAATTCGTTAGCACCCGAGCTACATCCCAGCCAGGCTGTAATGTTTTCTTTAGGCAGGGTTTCACTAAGTTACTAGGTTGCTTAGGCTGGGCGTGCATATGCAACCCTCCTGCCTCAGCCTCCCTGAGTGCAAGAATTACAGGCATATGCCCACCAAGCTTGGCTCAGAGCAAAAGTTTTTACAGTCAGAAAGGATTAGGTTTGAATCCCAACTCTAGCAACTGCCAGTACCGTTCCAACAGTGTTTTCATTTGTAAAGTAGGGACACTCACACAGTGACAGCCCATGTGGCTGTGTAAGGGTCACCAAGCTGTGTGCACAGGGGCCTACTGTAACATCAGGTGGAAAGGGGCCCTCAGCCAGCATCCACCAGTGTCTCTGGCCACAGCGCCTTGTGCTGCAGAGCACCCAGCTCACTGCACATGCACAACATCCACTCCACAGGCAGCTGAGGGCTGAGGCTGCAACACTCACTTCTCTGCTGCCACCTCAACACGGAGCCTGAGCTGCACAATGGTCAGCGACCCCGTGGAGAGACCAGTGCAACAGACCGATTCTGCAGTGTGGCTTCAGGTTCCTAGGAGAAACCATGCTTCGTATTTAGAGAAGGTGGTCTCCGCTTCCCAAATGGCCTACATGCAGAATGGGAAAAGCACACTCTCCTAAGTGACAGGGTCTGGGACTCCTGGGGTCAAGTGCAAGGTCACCTAACTCTGTGCTTCAGCCAGGGACAGTCACTCAGGCCAGGAGGACAGACTGTGGGACACATGGGCAGTTACCATTCTTGAGGTGCTTCACAGGCTCCGACAGCAGGTCTAGGAAGATCTCGACCTCCTGAGGCTCAGACCCCGCGAGGAAGCGCAGGACCAGGGCCGTGCGGGTGCCCGAGGCGGACTTGCCCTGGGTTTTACTCCCAGTCTTGTTCTTCATTCGCCCGTACAGAATTCTGAAAGTCAGGAGAACACTGCTGTGGGGCTGTGCCCTCATCCTAGAGCACAGCACTAGTCATTCTGTTTCCCTCAGAGGCTGTCAGAGCAACTCACCAGCTGGTTATACAAGGGCTACATCCTAAAACAAGGAAGAACGAACACCGACATGCGGTACCACATGTATTTACAAAAACAGTAAAGCTTGCCTAAAAGGAAGCAGGAAGAACACAGACAAAGGTCACAAAGCTTTTCTTTGTGTGGGAATAAAGTAATAAAATAGCCAAATGTAAACTCAACCCAGAAAAAGTGAAAATGGGAATTCAGAAACCAAGAGGAAATGAAGTTACTAAAACAATGAGCAAGTAAGGAAATTGCCATGATGTCAAGAGCTGGGAAAACATGTAAGCAAGCAGAAGAAACGTGCGGAGAAAGAAGCCTCAAAAGGCCAACGGCTGCTGGAAAACAGCACAGTTTTACAGGTGAGATTCTAAAATTCCAAAGAAAAAACTAAAACCATGTTACAATGTCATAGTAGACAGAAAGAAGGAAATAAAACTTGCTTTGTTAATGAAGATGGAACACTTAATTCTGAGAAGGGTTAATGAACAAAATCCATAAAACTATATACACTAGTTTTGCTTATAAAAACTGAAACAACAGCAGGCCGGGGCTATAGCTCAGTGGCACAGCATGCTTGCCTAGCGAGCGCAAAGTTCTGAGTTTGATTCCTGCTACCAAATAAATAAATAAATAATGAATTGAAACAACAGTGCTGCATTAAAATCAAAAGAAGAATTACCCAGGAAATGCAACAGCCAGTGGCCCAGGAGATGAGCATATATCAAGGGCTTATGGGCAAAGGGAGTAGGTCTGTTTCATTCATGCCCGATAAGCCAGTCTCACTATTGCACACTCAGTTTCACTTCAATATCCACTACTGGTGAAATCTGAAATAACCTAGTAATACAAAGTTACTTCCTTAATAGCACACAAAGCACTGACTCAACATTCAAAATTTTAAAGACATTGTTTTTCAGGCTTTTTGATATGTAGGACCCCTTTATATTATTAATGAAGCCCCCAAAGAACTCTTATGTATGTGAATTTTACCTGTTGTGTATTAGAAATCAAAATAGAGCAGGGTGTGGTCTGCACACCTGTAATCCCAGTACTCTGGAAGGCTGAGGCAGGAGGATCACAAGTTCAAGCCCACCCAGGCAACTTAGCTAGACTCTCTCAAACAAACAACAAAAGGGCCGTGCACGCAGCCTGGGGCGGAGGCCCTGTCCCGGCCCCGTGTCCAGTTTCCCGCTGAGGTGCAGCTCTCACAGAGTGCTCCTGTGGGGCTGGGGTTAGAGTGATTTTAACCCCAACTATGTGGCAGTGAGGGGTGGCTGTGTCACCTGGTGCCACTATTCTAAGACAGGCAGTGTACCCACCCCTGCTCCTGGCTGGTCAGAAGAAATGCCACAGAGCTGAGATGCCGCCTTGGGGACTGCAGCAACCTGCCCACCACGGAGCACACGGTCAGAGCTGCGCCTCAGGGCGGAGGACTCAGTGCCACCAGCAGTCACCCTAGAGGGAGCTCAGTAAGCAGAACAAGGGGTTGCACACCATGAGAGAACACAGAACTGTCCCTACTAGGGTTTATCAAGGGCCACAGCTCACTAGCTGCGGAGCAAAGGAGAAACAAGAAAAGACTGTGCTGGATAAGTACTGTAGGAAAGCAAGGCGGGACAGGCCAGCAAGCAGACAGGGCAAGACACGCTTTTCACACAAAGAAGTCAGGAAGGCACCTGTGATGGTGCAGTCCCCTAAAAATGTGAAGCTATGCAGCACGATCCACCTCCACCACAAAGTAGCAAGCACTCTGCAGTAATGACCGCAGGACCTGGCCCTGGAAAGGCAGGGGGCAGGCAGGCAGAGGTTCAGCTTTCCACAGTCTCTGCATGACTGGCAGCAGAAACAGTAAACACCACTTGCTATTCTACATGTCTACAGAGACATCATCAGAGATCAGGTCAAAATGAGAAAACTGCTAGAATAAAGAACCTAGGTTTTTTTTCATTTTATGAATTTGGTACAGGGTCTCACTAGGAAGCTTAGACTCATAGTGATCCTCCTGTTTTCAGCCTCCCCAGTGCTGGGATTACAGGTGTGCACCACCACATCTGGACTCAGCTGTCATCTCAGTGTGCCCTGGGAGTGGGGCTGCCAAGGCATGCACGGCTGGGAATCAAACTCTGGTCCCTGCACTTGCCAAAGCAGGCACTTAGTCTGCTGAGTTATCTCGTCAGTCATAAGAACCTAATTTTGAACAGTAATTATATACCAAAAAATTAAAGCGGTCAATTTTCCCATTAAGAACTGATTTTACGTATCAAACTGTACCTTTTCTTTTTTGTGGTCCTGGGGTGAACCTAGGGCCTCCCACATTCAAGGCAAGTGCTCTACCACTCGGTCACATTCTGAGTCCTTTTTCATTTTTTATTTTGAGCGAGTCTCATTAAGTTGCTCAGGATAAACTAGAATGTGCAGTCCTCCTGACTCAGCCCAAGTAACTGGGTGCTTGTGGCACTATGCCTGGATAAATCTAACTTTTTTGGGGGAGGGGTTTCTCACTATGTAGTCCAGGTTGGCCTTGAACTATGTAACTAGGCTGGGCTCTAACTGGCAGTGATCCTCCTGCATCAGCCTCCAGAGTCCTGGGATTACAGGCATGCCATCATACTTGCTTAAATTTAAATTTTTTGAGAGTACTGGAAATCAAGCCATGGCCTCACACTTGCCAGGCGGATGCTGTGCTGCTGAGCTACATCCCCGACCAACTTTTTAAAGAAAGAAATAACTTATTTAATAGAAATAAGTCATGAAGAAAAATGAAGAATCGATAATAATAAACATATACCTACAAAAGTAAAACGGTAAAAAGTTCCTCGGTTGGCGGAACCGGGGATTGAACTCGGGCCCTTGCACTTGGCAGGGAAGCGCTTAATCTACTGAGCCATCACCCCGGACCCCCCAAAAAACATTCTAATACACTGGTCAAAGATTCATAGATAATGAACGTATCTACTTTGCAAACAACAAAGTTAACAAACACTAGAGACAAGCAAAATGCTCAGAAGAGGGGACTTGGTTAATTATAGTGTTCCTATATCATGAATGATCATATTCTGAAATATCTCATGATATAAAAAAAAAGACACATGGCCAGGGATCCCCCCCACCGCACCTGCCGCCTGTTCTGCGTCCTCTTCTGTGCGCGCTTCTCAAGCTGCGCTGCCATGGCGCCCTCACTGTCCCCGCTCAATCCACACAATTGCCCTGTGCAGTCATCCTGACTTGCAAGAAGTGGAGGAGGATGCAGGGTGCCTAGTCACAGCTGCCTTGCCCTCCTGTAGGACGGCACATGGTGGCAGCAGTCACCGTAATTTTTCTTTAAATGTATTTCGTACAGGGTCAACAGGGTCTCACTACAGTTTGGACTAGTAGTGATCCTTCCTGTTTTTCAGCTTCCCAAGAGCTGGGATTACAGGCATCCGCCACCACACCCAGTCTCAATCACTGTCTCAGCATGCCCTGGGGGTGGGGCCGGCACGGCAGGCTGGGGATCGAACCCCCAGCCCCTGCATCCACCTAAGCAGCAGGCACCATAATTTTGATCACACCTTAAAAAGTCCCTGTGACAAAAGGACTTCCAGAGTTGCTTCAGAAAGTGGCAAAGACAATGGGATAAGTCTGTTCAAAGAAAGAGGGAGTTTTCTGAGGATTAATGGAAATATGTCTTTTACCATAATCTTTTTACTTCAATAATACTGCATTGTATTTTTTAATCAGTTCTTATATTTTGGAGAAAAAAGTCATAAAATATTTTATGCATTATGACTGCAATTATTTTTTAGAGTGCATATGTGCACTCAAATGTTTTTTCTTTTTACAGTACCCGGGATTGAACTCAGGACCTTGTGCTTGCCAGGCAAGTGCTTATTTTACTGAGCTATCTCTTTGGCCCTCAAATGGTTTTCAGTAGCTGGTATTTACCCTGGGCTTCATGTAACCATCTGAGGTCTACTTTAATAACGGTGCACCCCGGGAGGGGTCAGCACAGCAAGTGGTGCTGGGGATCAAACCCCGGCCCCTATGCTTGCCTAAGTAGGCGCTCAGTCCACTGAGCTATCTTGCCAGCCCTTGGGATCTACTTTTAGAGAGTTAAAACGTATTATTGGCATCCTGACATTTATATTTTATAATTGTTTGACAGATCATAAAGTCAACAGTGATTATTTTTGAGTGTTTGGATAAACCAGTTTTTGTATTCTACTTCTATTGTTTCATATCCACTAGTAATGGTAATTTTATATATCCACTTATTCAAATATTTTTATGTCTATTATAGCAAACATCTGCATGCTGGCTAAAAATAGGACAAAAAGCACCCCTGATCAGAGTCGTGTGGACATGGCATACCTGATCCAATTACTGCCTGTTACAGTGCAATGCAGCCCCACGGCCTGCAAGACCTGCCCCAAAGTAGAACAAGGCATTCCAGGCTGGCGGGCAGCAAAGGGCTCTTCATCTTCCCAACTCCCATCACTCCTGAGCTAGTGAGCAGAAACACGCACGATCCATGTTTCTGCTCAGCATCATTCACAGGTCATCTTTGTGTCTCACCATTTATAATTTATGAAGTAGCACCACTGCTAAGCATCACATGATACCTCGCTATGAAATGAATTATTTCCACTAAAGTGAAGCCGAAAATTGTCATCATGTTATACTTACAACTGTGTCTGCAACTTTCCTTAAAAAGTCAGTTACTTGGGGCTGGTGAGATGGCTCAGTGGTCTAGAGCGCCTACTTGGAACAAGCTTAGCAAGGCCCAGGGACCGCGGTTCAGTCCCTCAGCACCACATGCCAGCCGGCCCCGCCCCCTGGTGGGCTGAGCTGGCCACACACACACACACACACACACACACACACAAAGTCAGTTACTTAACAGTAAAAATACCTCATCAGAATAGGAAGCAGTTCTGCTCGGTGGGCGGGTTTCACGACAGTGTTATCTTCTGAAATGCTGAAATGCACTATCTCTTCCTTAAAGGTTTTGTCATCGAGTAACCTTTGAAGGTTTTCCCTTTAAAAGCAAAATACAGCACAGGTCATCGCTCAAGCCGACACGCTTTGTGAACACGCAGGAGCAGTGTGGCACAGTGGTGCGCACGGCTGAGCTAGGACACGGAGCAGTTCACATCGTGGCCGACACTTGGGACAAGTGTGGCAGGCCCTCACTGAAGGGCCTTCAAGTTGCCAAAGGTTAAATGGACCAGAAGGGATTTAGCCCATAATTGAGCCATTTAAAACAATGATACACATGCATGAGGAAAAAAGCACAATACAAAAGTTCTTTAGTTCACAGAGAATTCCCTAAATAAGATTTTCTAGCATTATGTTAACAAAAGAAAGAAATGATACTAACTTTCACAACATACATTTTAAAATTAATGTTCCCTCTTCTACTTTAGGATTTATGGAGAACAACTCTTTAACAAATACACTTTGTTTTGAAATGTCTCAAAATAGCATTATGAATGATTACCTTACAAGAGAGGGAAATTTCTTAGCCATATAGGAAATTATTTTAAAAAGGGTAACTATGTAAAAAGATAAAAATCACCCAAAGAAAGAACATTTCTGTAGCTTCAAGTAACATATACCTGTAAGGAAGGATGTGAGGATGCTTGTATGTCATTATGCAATCCAAGGTAATCTTCTGCACTGTTTGATCTTGGTGTAGCAATAGCTAGGAAGCATGTTTGACAGAATAAATTAACAAAGTAACATATACAACAGGATAGAAATTTACATGTCACTATACTGAACTAGATTTACTAAAATCTAAATTTGAGTCAAGGTAGAGTTGAAGCTGGATAACAGCCTTACATTTTCCTGGAGTCAAAGAAGGATGAACAGAATATGTGAAAAGAAAAACTGGAACAAATCTTGATCCAGTTCTCTGTGAATGTGGATGCAAACCAGAGGGGTCAGCCACACGCTGAGGAAGCCTCCGCGCTGAAAAGCCAACAGCACGGGCAAGACGCCCAAGGAAACCGGGCGGAGGCTTCTGATGAGTGACTGCAGAAGAGGGCTGCTCCCAGGCACGACAGATGTTGGAGCTCAGGCTTTACAAACACTGTCTCTGCGAATGCCAGGCAGGACAAAGGTAATTCTGCCCAAATGATCATTCATTCTAAAAAAACTTTTAATGAAAATAGAAAACTTCCTTTCTCCAGGTTAATTTAGAACGATATTCAATCCTTATTCTGCTTCTGACATTCACCTTTTTTCCTGCAGCCTTCTGAATTCAGGGTCATATACTGCAGCTGTGACAGACAGCTGTTCCACCACTGTAAGAATTTTTGTGTATCTAACAGAAACTGAAGCCCAAATCCTCCACAGAGGCTGAATTCACTAAAAGGGAAAAGCAGCCCATTCTCTTCCGAGCGCTGATTCTTATGACAACATTCAATAAACTAATGCTGCCTAAATTATTTCTCAAGATAATGAAAAATATGTGTACTGATTTAAATACTAACATATAGACATGCCCCCCTTGATTCACTGAACATTGAAACCTGTATGTTACTTTGACAAAAAAAAAAAAAAAAAAAAAAAAAAAAAAAGAAAAAGATAAGAGTAAAATCTCACAGGAATTGTAATGCCAAAAATTTCTTTTACTTACCTGAAGATACAACTCATATAATTTAGATTCTAGATATAAAGCCCGTGGATTTGAAAATTTAGAGAAAACTTGCAGATGAGCAATTAACTGCCTAAACAAAAACAAAATGAAGATTATGGAATTAAAGAATAAAGCTACAATGTTATTCTTCTGATCAGTATTCCAAACAGTTGGTCTAAGTTTCACTGTTCATTACACAAACTAATTTACATTTAGGAAATTCCTCTCCAGAAATTCCCAGTCATAGGCAGGTCTCTCCCTGCAGTCCTGGCTCCCCACACAGAAAATCCTCAGGATGCGCTTAGAATAGTTTAAGCCAAAATTACAAAGCAAGCAATTAAAACTGCATTCCAAAGTTGAGCACAGAGGACTCTGCCAGTCATTTCTTGTCTAATTATTTCCTGTCCAGCAGGCAGCGAAGTGGCAGAGAGTTCCTCCTCACCTGCATGTAACACAAACACTGAAGTCAGACAACCTCGGTCCAACATGAGATCACAATGGATCCTTTATCTCAGCAGGGCTGCTTTCTGTGGTTTGAAGTTGACCAGGAAGATGGGAATGTTCACAGCAAATGACACCATCCACTGACCATCCGCAGAGTGAGCCAAATGCATTTACTCTGCTAGTCCACAGACTCTGGGAGGCTGTACAGATACCTGCAACACCCTTCGCTCGTCATGTACTCTGGGAGGTGCGTGTATTAGGACCCTAAGGGGGCTCTGAATGAATATGGCTAAGACTTAAGAGCTGTTATTTGCCTGTTTCATGTCAGGACAGAAGCAGAGAGTGGAAGAAGCCAAGCTACATGTGGGCCTTTGGGGAACCACTTCCTTCAGAAGGATGAAGCACCCATGCCTTCTGCGAGGATTAGAAGAAAGTTGAGGGGGCTGGGGAGATGGCTCAGTAGAATAAGCGCTTGCCTGGCAAGCTCAAGGTCCTGAGTTCAATCCCCGGTACTGCAAATAAATAAATAAATAAATAAGTGGAAGTTGAGATGTGCTATGTGCAGGAAACACGCCCATGATGTCCTGCAGACACAGACAACTAGTAAGAAACAGAAGTGTTCACTGTGGCTCCTCCTAAGTGTGCCATCGCGTTTCTCCACTTCTGTGCATAAGCGAGTGAAACAGCGCCTGCCCTGTGGTTAAAGTAGAGCAGACAGGCTGGCAGCCCGACCTCATCAGACACAAGGAAGATAAACAGCCTGCAGCTCTACAAAGAACTTTCACATTTTCTACTGAAGAAGCCATTCCTTGCTCTAACATTCAGTAATACTTTTATATGCATCACGTGACCCCAAAGAGTCAGAGAACAGGCACTAATCCACATGTTCTCAGCAAAAGCTTGCTAAGCAGGCTGTTTCAGCCAGGTGGGCTGTTTCATGAGGTTATAAACCCAGGCTAAGCACACGAGGTACTGAGATGGCATCGAGGATGGACTGCCAACATAGCCCCAGGTTCAGTGATAGCATTTGGTTGCAATTCTCTAGGTGTGGGTATGGGGGGCAGGGAGACTAATGAATTAACACATGCACTGAATTCTTTTTTCCTTTTTGACAGTGCGTGGATCAAACGAGGGTGTCTCCCATGACAGTAAGGGCTCCACCACTGAGCTACGACCCTAGCCCATGGATGACCGAATTGGCAGAGTTTCTGACTTGTGTGGGAGTCATGAAGGGTTAAACGCAAGACAATGAGCGGTGAGGACATGAGTGGTCTTGGCATAAGCGGCAGCCCAGCCATGCCCTTGCCTGGCTGTGTTTTCACACTATCTCATCTGTTGGCAAATCCCTTTCTGGGCAAACTTGCACCGTGCAGCATCAGAGCTGTCCTCTCCACATACAGAGTCTTCCGTGGTGTAGGTGGTGAATATAAGTGATTCTTCCCTGTGCTCCTTCTTCTCCTATGGCACCACTGTGGTGGGCCTTTGCTGGACTGCGACCCGACCTTGCAGGGGCTATGTGCAATTCATGCCTCAAGCTCGTATTTAGCAAAGGGCGGCCGACGCAGCTGCCACTGGGATGAACCAGTAAGTGATTGACCAGAAAATTTAAACTCAGAGATCCTTCAGAGAACTTGAAATAACTCCTGAAGGCAAGATTGCTCCTTTTTTAGGTTTATAACTATTTATTTATTCTAATGTATTTGGTATAGGGTCTCACTACACAGCTTGGACTCATAGTGATCCTCTTGTTTCCAGCCTCCCCAGGGCTGTGATTATGGATGTGTGCCGCCACACCCAGTCTCAGAGGCCAGCAAGATGTGGTACTGGGAATTGAATAGGTTTTATAACTATTGAGGTAAATTAATAACCAAAAGAATAAGAGTGTATAATAGCATAAGAAAAAAGTAACCAGTAGGAAACAAATAACAAAAAATAACTTGTAGGAAACAAATCAAAAGGCAGAGTAAAAGTGCTGACGTGCTTAATTTCCAGGAAAATCATGTTCTCTTATGAGGCCCCCAGCACACAGCGAAGTGCCGGCCTGTGGCAGTGGAAGTGAGCTGGCATCGCAAGATCCATGCACCCTGGGCCCCACAGTGCTCTTCTTACAAAGAAACTGCACTGAAAAGCTCCCTCCAAAGCTCTCAATTCCAACCTGTGTCCCAACAGAAAGATTAATGATTAAGAGGCAGGTGGCTGGAACCCCCAGCTCCCAGGACACGGGTGTGACACACAGCAGAGGGAGGCAGGCAGGCAGGCAGGCAGGCAGATGCAGACTGAGGATCTGGCTTCCAGGCCTCTGACAGCTGCGGCCCTGGCTGCAGTGAGACCAGTCCAGGCTCAGGAACCGCATGGGTGCCACAGCCTCTTCATCCCTTCTCACAGCCCACAACTTAGCCACAACTGAAGGTTTGTGATCATCTGGGAATGATGAACTCACTTTGCTGCCGCTCTCCGAGTCTTTTTCTTTTGGGGGGGCTCCACTGGGGGGTCTGCCTCTTCCTCCAAACCCTCCTCATCTCCAGCAGTGGGCTCCTCTTCTGCCTCCTCTGTGACTACCCCGCTTCCCTTCTTCCGCAGATCCTGGGTTGGGGCCACCTGTAGATCTGCTGGGTAATACTCATTGCTGCAGTGGGAGAGACATAGGTGAGGAAAATACGCTTACCTCAGAGGTCCTGAGTCTGTGAGACCGAGTCTGTGACACAGACCACAACCACAACCACACAAGAGGCACCCAAGTCAAGCTCCTATAAGGCTATTCTTCACTGGGTTCCTCATGGACAAGTTAATCACCAGCTGTGAGAGACAGCCCTTTCCATGCGTACACCACTGAGAATATTTAAGGTGTCTATTTTAGACCAAACTGAAATCAGTCTGTGTCTGGAACCTGAATGGCTTAGGATGGATTACTGTAAAAGATTATAGTATTACGCCCATGCCATCACTTCCCTCCAGATACCTTCTACTTTATAACTGACTTTGAAAGACAATGTCATAGCCCCAAATACCCTAAGTGAGCGAGGCCAAAACAGTACATAGCCAGAGGCATTGTATTATCTTCAAAATCTATTGTGAAGCACTTGTGTTGGTATCTCAGCAGACTCACAGACAAAAGGAGCAGCACAGAGATCCTGGAGGAAACCCGCGCACCAATGACTAAAACTGATTTCCAGCAAAGGTGTAAGAACATGCACTGGGGAGAAGCAAATACTACCAATAAATGGCGCTGAGCACAGGGATATCCACAGGCGGAGGACTGACACTAGACACCTGTCTACCAGTTACAAAGGTCAACTCAAAATGGATTAAAAACTATAAAACCAGAAGGGAAATGACTGAGGACACTGGAATGGGCAAAGATTTTCTGACAAGACCCCAAAAGCATAGCAAGTGAAAGCAAGAACAGGATTACATCAAAGTAAAAAGCTTCTGAACAGAAAAATAACTGACCGAGTGAAGAGACACTATACAGAATGGGAGAAAATGTTTTCAAGCCATGCATCTGACAAGGAGTAGTACCTACATACATGAGGAACCAAAAACTATAGCAAAAGAACCCCCAAATAATTTTTTATTTTTTGTCTTTTTGAGACAGGTTCTTGCTATGCAGTTCAGGCTGGTCTTCTAACTTTGTAGTCCAGGCTGATTTTAAACTTGCAACAATCCTGCCCCAGCCTCCCAAGTGCTGGGGTCACGAGTGTATAAAAAATAGGCAACAGACATTTCTCTAAAGAGACACTCCTCAAAAGAAGATACAGATGGCAAATAAGTCTATGAAAAACACTTAGGGACATGTCAGTCAGAACCCCATAAGGTCACTTCAGTCTAGAGAGCATGACCATTACCAGAAAGACAGAAGGCAGCCAGCGCGGACAAGGCCGTGGAGGAGGAGAACCTACGCACCTCCTCGAGGGGCACTGTAAATCAGCACAGCCACGTGGATGTTCCTAAAAACTTCAGAGTAGAACTAGTGCCACATGATCTGGTGACCCCGCTGCTGGGTACACAGCCAAAGGAAGGAAGGCAGCCCTGAAGGGACCTCTCAGTCCAGTGTTAACTGCAGCACTGGTCACAAAAGCCAAGAGTGAAAGGGAAGCGAAAGGATCAAGATGCATGTGCATGTGCACTTTCCTGATGAGGAACATACGCATTATGTACTGCAAACTGAATCACACACGGAAAGAAAAGAAACAGACCACAGCCAAGAAACAGACACGGCCTAATTGCTGATGAACGTGTAAAGAAACCGGTATGAGACGGCGTGGTGGCACATGCCTGTAATCCCAGCGCTTGGGAGGCTGAAAAACAGGAGGATTGCTACAAGTCCAAACTGTGTAGTGAGACTCTGTAGACTTTGTATTAAATATATTAAAAGAAAGAAAGAAACAAACAAACAGACAAACTGTGGTACATCCACACAACAGTGTCACTTAGCCATCAAGAAATAAAATCCTGGCATTTTAACAACACGGATGGGACTGGATGTCATTATGTTAAGTGTAATGAAATCAGACACAGAAAGACCTAAACCCCAAGATCTCACCTATGTCCACCCTAGAAAGCTGATCTCACGCAAGTTGGGAATAGAATGGATCCCAGCGGGGCACAGGAAAGGCTGGGCATGGCACCAGATTCCGCTTAGACAGAGTAAGAATTTCTGTGTGTCCCACACAAGAAGTAATAGCAAGGGTCAACAAGTGGGATCATATCAAATTATAAAGCTTCTGCATAGCAAAGGCAGCAACCCAAAGAGTAAAGAGCAGGCCGGGGAGATGGCTCAGTAGAATAAGCACTTGCCTGGCAAGTGCAAGGGCCTGAGTTCAATCCCTGGCTCCACCAAAAAAAAAAAAAAAAAAAAAATGAAGAGTAAAGAGACAACCTACAGAATGGGGAAAATTTTTTGCGAGCTATTCCCTGCACAGAGGACTAATATTAGATTATTAGATGCCCCCAAAATAAAAGACACAATCTAGGAATAGGCAAGTGAAACAGATAGTTCTCAGAAGAATTAAACATGGCCAATAAACATATCAAAAAATGTTTGACATAGTCTGTTCACAGCACGACAGCCAGCGAACCCCTTAAAGCTAGTCCCGCCACCCTGGGTAAGTTCCCCAAAACCTCCCATCTTACTGACAAGAGGGGCCATGGTCCTCGGCCAACACTCGGAGGCCACAGTGCAGACTGCTCAGATTTGTACCCTTTCCCACCTCCCCTCCAAGCTCTCATTCCTTACCAAGCCAGGCACGCTGTGGCATATGAGCTACTTACACCAATCCCGTAGTAGTTTTCCCACATAATCAAGTATTTTGGACAAATGCTCATCTTACTGACAGGGTGGTTCTGTCCTGCACACCTCGGTGCCCAAGGCTGGGGTTCAGAGCAGATGGACTCCCACCCATGCAGCATGTCTACCCAGACACTGCTCTGGGAGCTCTTGTTCTTTCAGAGCACACACATCCCTCAGCACTGCAGAAATAACAAGAGGCTCGAAGGAGTAGTTGGGGTTGGGCTCCTGGAAAACACTGTGTACTCCCAGGCAGTGAACAGAAAAGCAGGCATAATAAGGCCTGCGTACAATGAGCAAACAGTGTGGTCCTGCTTATTTGGTAAATGGAGCAGTTTTACTAGTAGCAAAGGTTATATACAATTAAGTGGTAAGCAAAACTAATGCAGTTGCTATCTGACAGGGCTAGGGCCTTACAGAAACTGTAAGAGACGTATAAAGAACTCAGCCAAAAAATACTTCTTACTTCCTCTTTCTCAGATCCTACCAGGAACACATTTCTACTACTTACTTGATAAACCTCAGGAAAAGTGGGGAAAGCTCCCTGGACCGAGGCTCTACTCTCTCTGGGAATTTTGCCAGCGCCCGCCAGAGCAAAAACCGGAAGTTGGTATGGTCTAGCCTTTCCCGACAGTCAGTCTTCACTGCTAACTGCTCCTGATACAAAGTGCCGACGTCTCCTTCCTGGTCCAGCTCCCAACTTGTGTCTCCAACTGGTTCCTCCTCATCTGTGGCCCTCTGCAGTTCTTTTTCTGCAAGAGAAAAGGTCATGACAGCACCTGAGAATGTTAGCACTGCTACGCGTGTCCCAAGATAGAAACCAGCCAACCACACCAAGGGTTATCAAAGCTGTCTGACTTCTCATTTCATTTCCCACGTCATGCACAATTACAGTGGCAGTGACAGAGTTAGAACAGCCAGCTCTCTTCTCAGCCTCCCTTACCCCTACCTACCGGCATGGGTAGCTGCTTTCTCTAGATGTTCATAGTAGACTTTCCAAAATTGCTTATTTTCCATTTCATGAGCATGAGAACTAAAAGGAAAGATCACAAAATACGTGGCACAGTATAGTCTCTGTGATATTTCACAGGAAAAAGAAAATGAGTGACAGGTATAAATAAAATGTTAGATGATCCTCCCCACAGGGCTGGAAAACAACTTGCGCTCTTTCTGGTACTTCTGAAAATGCCTGCAACACACAAATTATTTTGATAGCCACAGAACACTAAGGAGTATTTTAAACAATGAAAGCAGATTCCCGTAAGACTACTTTTAAAGGCGTAACAACAGCAGCAATGGGATATAGCATGCAAATTACAGGGAAGGAGACCTTTCTTTGGAGAGAAAAACCAACATGCTCAAAGGTAATTTTAAAATGTTGGCTTTCCTCCAGCAGATTCAGGTTTACCTATTCTATTAACATACAGGCAAAACATTCAGTACTTTTAAAATATATTCAGATCTTAATTACAAACATGAGAGGAATCACAGAAGTGTTCAAATTGACACTCCAGCAATAATATTCTCTATTTTAAAATACTTCTTATCTTTCATTTTCTAAAACTATATATAAACACAGGAGACAGGAACTGTGCATGTTTTGTACTGTACACAGAAAATGCACACTTTCCACAGACAATATCCAGCAGGGACACAGCTCAGGCCTGTGGAGCCCACCAAGGCACCCAGCTCATGCAGAACCGCCATTTCTGACCTTGTCTACTGGTAACGCACACATCAGTGTCCTCTGACAGGGTAATTACGTAGCTGATGCCAGAAGGCGCTTGTTTACAGCAGTGTTTTCAAGGATGGTACCGGGCAGATTGACTAGTTAAATTTTTTTTTTTTCACTTTATGTATTTGGTACAGGGTCTCACCACACAGCCTGGACTTGTAGTGATCCTCCTGTTTTCAGCCTCCCCCATGCTGGGCTTACAGGCGGGCACCACCACGCCTGGACTTGATCCAGGCTCAGCGCTTCTGGGGGCAGGGCCAGTGCTGCATGCAGGACCTGGGATTGAACCCTCGTGGTTCAAATTTGGAAAGGGGCTTGTTTATTTTTCTGTCAGGTAAGACCTAGTGCTGGGACTCTGAGGGCCACAGTGGCACATTCTCACCTGATGAGAAGCCAGGCTGGCCCTCTGCACATGAATGTCTGTGACAGAATATTTTTCAAATATTAAATGTTTTGCTTGTGTGTTAATAGGTATGCCTGAATTTGCTGGAGGAAAGCTAAAGCTAACGTTTTTAAGTTAGTTTTGAGCACATCTAGGCCTGGTCACCTGTATGTTCTTTGTGACTAGTCATGTCCTGGTAGAGGGACCTTCACAAAGGGATTTTGTTTAATTCCCAGCCCGCTGTGCTGGCCCTGCCCCTGGGGTGCACAGAGACAGCGAGTGAGAATGAGCGTGGTGGTGCACGCCTGTAATCCCAGCACTTGGGAGGCTGAAAACAGGAGGATCACTACAAGTCAGATCTACCTAGTGAGACCCTGTACACCCTGAACTAAAGACATTTAAAAACAAAAACAAAACAAACAGAAAAAAAAAGCAAAGGTATTTCATACACTTGGCATGGGGGGCTGGGGAGATGGCTCAGTGGAATAAGTGCTTCTCTGGCAAGCACAAGGGCCTGAGTTCAATCTCCGGTTCCACCAAAAAAAAAAAAAAAAAGACTGGCTCTGAAGAGGTGTTGGGACAGTGAAGGTCTGAACACAGGTGTACACTTGGCAGCAAAGGCTGTGAAAAGCTGTTTCTTTTTAAAGTATGGCACCATGATTCAATACCTGCAATACGTAACAATGTGTGACAGCACCACGGCACACCTCGTAGAAGCGCCATGTATGGAAAGAGTCCTCCCGGCACACAGAAGCCCACATACAGCTCTGAGCTGCTGGGAAGAAGCACTGCACATTTTTCTTCCCTCCTCTCCCACGAAGGCACTCACTCATTTTGACACCAAGCAGGGACATGCGCAGTGAGAGCAAGCAGCCTACCTTATGAGCTCAATCACGGGCTCCCAGAGTGCGCTGAAGTTGACGTACAGCATGCCCAGCAGGTACCGGAGCGGCACCTGCAAGCACAGGAGACCCACAGAGTAAGCAGGGTGTGAGCCAGGAAGGCCGCGGGGCGCAAGTGCCGAGACTCAAGACGCCCCCAATGGCCAACCTAGGGTCTAGAAAGAAGCTCGCACTTTAAGAAAACAAGCTGTAGAGACCAACCCAAAATTCAGCATACAGTCACTTTCCTCCTTTTCCGAAAACGTCATCCACAATTGAACAGAAGAACCACTGTAACCAACAGCATCCGAAGTCGTGCCAGATGTCCACTCTCAACGAACACTGACCTGAGCAGCCAGTACTGTACTGATGCTCATAACCCAGGAGACCAGGAGAACACAAGGAACGGCAGTAGAAGCTTCACTTCTTGTACTCTGGGGATGGAACCCAGGGCTTCACACACGCGAGGCACACGCCCTACCTGGGTGAGTTGCCAAAACTACTTCAGAAAAGGTCAGTACAGAGGAGCTGAAGTTTTCTTTATTAAATATGTTAAAAGTGTTGGGACTCGTGCATGCCAGGCAAGCATACCTCTGAGGTACATGCCCAGTTCTATTTTTATTTTGAGATACAGTTTTGCTAAGTCTTCAAGGCAGGCTTTGAACTTGTGACTGACCCTCCTGCTTCCAGAGTTGCTGGATATGGAGACGCTTGTGACCTCCCACATCCCCAGTGCCACCAGAGGGGCAGTGCCCTCACTGCTTTGAGTGCATGCTCTAGCGCCGGCCCTGTTCCACTGCAGGACACTACTGATAGGAGAGCAGAGCAGCACCGCTCCGGCTGGAAGGGAAGCTGCCTGAGGCCTTCCACCTACAGGCGCTGGGCTGGGTGGACCTGCCAGCCACACACCGAAAACCTGATACCTGCTTAGAGGGAAGAGGCGCTGCTGTGATGGATGCACATGTGAGGAGCCTGACATTGAGCCCTCCTGTCACCACACACAAAGCCACTGACCTCACTGGGATGCGATGAGCATAAGTCACAGACATGAAGCCACTGTGAAGACCAAGCATGGTCAAACACAATCATCACTGGTTCTAGGCCCCACCATGTAGCCCGTGTCTGCTCCATCCAAGCCTGCATGCACTCCAGATGGGAACTGGCTGAGCTGCCATGGAGGCGGCAGGTACGGCGGGTACAGCGGGCAGCAGCACACACGGCGGCCCCATTCTGCCAGCCACACACCGTGAGGGCTCAGGCAGACCATGACGCTCTGTGTGCCTCAGTTTCCTCCTCTGTGAATGAACACAGTAACAGCACCCAGCTCTGAAGATCATGGCCATTGTCTGAACCCTAAAGTCCAGCCACCTGCCACCTAGAGCTCCCTCAGGGCTTTGTGAGACAGAAAGTCAAATGAAGGGGCTTAAAGAAGCCTTCCTTTATGTGCGGGGCAAACTGGCTGAAGTAACTTTATATAAATCTACCTTCCACCTCTGGGAATGACAGTTATAGCCACCTTTGAGCACGAGACTTAGAACCACGCTATACAGACTATAGTGCCCACTCTAAGGCACCTGCTCGTCTATAACCTTCAGTAAAGCCCTGTAATGCCCGAGCCTAGAGCTCTACATGTATAAAAGCGGCATAACATTCCCGAAAGCACAAAGCGTTATGCAGCTGCAGGACATTCTAGGACAGCAGAGCGCCTGGGATTTTTTTTTCTGAGTCAGATTATGCAGCCCAAGCTGGCTCTGAACGCAGTGATCCTCCTGCCTCAGCTTCCCGCGTGCTTGGGTTACAAGTGTGTGCCACCACATCTGGGCAACCAAGGATTTTTGTTTTAAATTTGGCATACAGTTTTAAGGAGCAAAACCAGGAGACACTGATAAAGTCTGTGTTTAAATAATCAACAACTCAGTAAATAATTAATAATCATCTTTTTGTGTTCTGGATTGAAATTACTGAATTTCATTTAAAGCAGTAAAATTCATATTTGCTTCCAAAACACAAACTTGAGATATACAAACTAAGAGAACAATGAGGAAGAAGGCTGATACGAAGTTATTTTGTCAGAAGATGTACTGCTTTACTTTTAGGTGATTTTTAAAAACCAAGTTTTTACAGTGCTGGCCACTGAGACCACCACAATACAAAATGGATCCTGTTTGAGAAGCATCTTTTTCGTAATCAGCTGCTTTCAGTGATTAATGGGCATTTGCCTTCCTAGGAGGCTGCTGAGCTTCGAAACATCCTTGTGTACTTTTGTTACAAAAATATACATTGAATTTTTAGTTTTTAAAAAATCCAATAAAGAAAATTACAAAGTATTTCTCTGGGAAAGAAAGAAGGACTAAACAGAATAATTTCTTTTCTTTTTTTGCGGAACTGGGAAATGAACTCAGGCCCTTGCACTTGCCAGGGAAACGCTTATTCCACTGAGCTATCTCCCCGGCCCCACAGACTAATTCTTCATCATTCACTTATTCTATGAAGAATTTTCAAATAAAACCTACTCTGTGGGGTTCAGATGATTTTAAATCCCTCAAGAAATAATAGAATACAATCTAGTGAACTCATTTAAGGCAAAAAAAAAAAAAAAAAAAAAAGAGCACCAACTACTTGTGACGGCAAAGTGTGCATTTCACAACTGTCTCACAACAAAACTGGTTTAAAAACAAATGTTTTGGTAAGAGATGGTCTGCACCCTTAAGCAAATCCTTAGTCTGAGGCCGGTGAGGTTAGCTGCTAGGAGCTTTACGTGTCAACACTCGTGTGTGCTTCCTGCTGTCACCCGCAGTACACAGCACTGAGCCCAGTGAAGGAAACTACAGAAGGTGGCAACTTTCCTGTTTCTTCAGGAAAAACAATAAAACTCAATGAGGACTGCCGTCGTGGGGTCATGCCTTCCCTGCTCAAAAAGAGACACTACCTTATTCCTACTGTTTAAAAGCCTGGGAGGGCCACTGAACTCAAAAGCATTGGGAACAGGGGAGTGACCTTGTGCAAAAGCAAATTTTCTTGGTAGCTACGTAATAAGCTCCTCCAGTCAAGACTCAAAATGCAAATTAAGGAAGCAAACAAACACGGACACTGCTCTTGCCTCTTGCAGCGGCCCCTCAGGGATTGCAGTGTGCGCCACGTCGTGCCTCAGTTTCCTCAAGTGAAGCAGCTTCTCCCTGTAGTCACTCACAGTGGCCGGGACGAGCTCCGCCTGGCGCAGGACAGCGAAGGCAGACGGCCGCTCCGAGAGCGCATCATCCTGCAGGGCACAGCACAGAGGCTCAGGTCGTGCTTGCCAGAAACACCAAGAGTGCCCAAGGTCCAACGGCAGACAGCCAGAGGCATGAGCGTCCTAAATGAGCCAAGGAGCACTGCTTGGTGAGCTGCTCAGGCCTGGTGTTTGGCACAGAAATGGAAAGCAAGCAGAAAAGTGATTCTCAAAAGGACTCAAATCGATGGGCAACATCTATGGAAGTGAAGAACATACACACACACCTTCACCATACAACTGACTCACAGGACTGTGTCCCTACAGGAAGACGTCTGTGGCAGGAGGCTCACTGCACTATGAAGAAGGGACCCAGGAGAAGGGGCCCGGGCCCAGAAGGCATGTCAAGCCGTGGGATACACTCAGGCATCAAAAGACAGGAGGTAAAGTAGTGACTGGCATGGAAAACTCCCAGGATAATGTCTGTTTAAACTACGTATGTGTATCCAGAACTTGGGTAAGAATATGTACCAAGTACCTGAGGCTTCTTGGTAGTAGCCGTGGTGGTGGTAACACAAATTTTAAAAAACTATCAAATTTCATGATAGATATTTATACACTATGCTTATTTTCTGCAAAAACAACATTTCAGAAACTAGAAAAGAAAAAAAAAAAGGGGGGGGCCAGGGCGATGGCTCAGTAGAATAAGCGCTTCTCTGTCAAGCGCAAGGGCCTGAGTTCAATCCCCAGTTCCGCCAAAAAAAAAAAAAAAAAAAAAAAAAGAAATTAGGAAAGAAATGTAAACTTGTATTTTTTTTTAAAACTACCCACTTAAACAGGTGAAATACCTCCATCAATTCTGGAAGCCGGATAACAAAATGGTTCAGGATTCTTATTGTCAAAAGTCGAATCTAAAGAAAGTAAAAGGCATATTTCAAATTGCAAAATTTAAGAGGAGGAAGAAACTGATTTACAGCAAGAGCCGAGTTTTACAGAACGAAGGGCACCATCTGGCCAGACACATGTGCGTATATCCTGCCCCTGCTTCTACCCACCACACTTCATCTAGACGGCACGTGGATGAGGGAGCAGATGAGGATGCTCGCTGCCCGGCGCCCCATCACGGCTCTCCACACTAGCAAACCCTCTCTAGTAAGTGCAAAGAGCTGGGTAAGCAGACAGTTGGACTAGATCCGCGATTTCTTCATTCTTAAGTAACACATTCAGGGACTTCTGTAGCCTTTTTTTTTTTTCTGCAGCCTTGAGTCAGCAGCAGAATCATCTACAGGGCTTTAAGAGACTAACATTTTCAGTGCAATCCTAACCCTACTGACCCTAAATCTTGGGGTGGGGCTGTAAATTTGTATTTCTGTGATCCCCTCACTAACTGTGCTGCTGAGAGTCAGCAGCTTGTGCCCCACTGCAGCCCTTTCCAGTTCGGGGGCGGGGGAGGGGGCAGGCTCTGTGTCTTCTGTGGTTGCTGCTGGAAAACTAGCAGAAATAGGGATCACGCCGCATGACAGGTCACCTTGGATACGCCAGTTGAGATGTTGGCCTGTAACCTGGGGAACATCTCCATCAGCGCTTCCTCAGAGAGCGGCACTCTGCAGCCACAGAAGGATAACCTCTGGTAGTAGAGATCGGCCAACAGCAACACGGATGGCTCTGCTGGGAAGGCCCTGCAACGAGACGGTCACCAGACCTCGGCTGTATTGATAGCCCATCAAGAAAATTACAGGGGCTGGGGAGATAGCTCAGTAGAATAAGCGCTTGCCTGGCAAGCGCAACGGCCTGAGTTCAATCCCTGGTTGCGCAAAAAAAAAAAAAAAAAAAAAAAAAAAAAAAGAAAATTACATATTTACCAAGTACCAGTATTAAGGTTCACTATGTAAACACAACTCAAGTATAAAACAGATTAGGATTCTTACTATGTCTCATACCACCATCTCAAAGGTGTTTATATTTTCTCTACTATGAAGCGAAAGGGGAGCTCCATTTACTTACAGCACTAAGCTCTTCACTCGCTCCACGGGAACCAGATGAAGAAGCGCCGAAGAGTCTTCCAAAGTTAGCAGCGTGCTTATGGCTTGACAGAGAACAAATAAGTTTCCTAAGGGAGGAAAATGGGAGAACCACACTACTTATTTCTTGGACTTGACTATTGGAACACCTTATTTATCCACCTCTTGTTATTTGCCCAAAGTTCCTACGGTGCGCTGGTGCCTCCTAGAGAACTATCTGAGTCAGGTACGGTGCCACATGACAGGAATCCCAGCGCTGGAGAGACTGAGACAGGAGCTCAAGGCCAGCCTGAATCACACACTCTGTCTCAAAATCAAACAAACCAACCCATCAGTCGACTATCTGAGTAGAACAGAGCCGAGAAGTGCCTAAGTCTTATATTTGTGTTTCTCAGAGTGAAAACACATTCCAGGAGAATAAAAGGCAACAGGCCACTGGAGGACAAGGCGCGGCCGAACATCCCTAACCTGAAACTTTCCAAGAATTGCCAGGCCACTCAAGATGTTTCAGATTTTTGAGAATTTCCAACTTGAGGTTTTTAAATTCGGAACGGTTAGCCAGTGAACCTATGCAAACATGTCTATAACTGAGGGATACTAAGACTAAAACCAGGACAAGGGACGCTGCTCAGTCCACTTTAGATGAGAGCAGACGTAGCTTTTCCAAAAGCTAACGATCTCTGTATACAACTCACGCTGGTATCATTTACAGAAAGTCACATATCCAACAGCTACTACCTAGTACGTTAAAAATAATTCAATACTCATTTAATCTCTAGCCCAGGGGCCAGCAATCTGTGGCCAATAAGCTGGATCCAGTAGGTGGCTTGTTTTTACAGGCTCTGAAAGTAGAGAACGTTTCTAACCTTCTAAAGGGCTACTGAAGGTGTGGGCAGCCACCACCAACGTAAGACGTGGTCCAAGATTGGAAGTACACACGGCCTGGTCCTCTTGCCAAGCCCTGCTTCAGTGTTAAGACCAGTGCTGCCCAACAGAAATCTCTGCAATGATAAAGACCCCGCGCCCCAGCCAGCGTGGCAGGCGCTAGCACCTGGATGACACCTGAGGTGTGGAGTCTGGGGTCCTCTCTTACAGGCACCCGCTCAGAACCCACCAGAGTAGGGCACATCGGTACTGAAGTGAATGAGTGCTTACCATGCACATACCAGGAGAGAAGACTACTACTACTTCCCTTTCCTTGGGCTCTGGGAAGGCGCAAGCCCCGAGCAGGCAGCAGGGCTTGAGGCAGGGCAGCCTAACGCTGCTGGACGAGGCAGGAAGGTTTTTCTACGTGGGCTGTGCCAAGCTGAGTTTTCAAAGCCAGTGAAGCAGTCTCTTATAGCAAACACTTACAAAGTCCCCAGGCAGTGGGAACACATGGCCAAAGACCCTCGCTCAGCCCCTTCATCAGTCCCCTGCACAGCACTCAGCATAAGCAAATGGAACCACCTGCATCTGGGGGTGGGCTAGGTCCTGGCCGCGGGAGCTCCTGCTGTGGATCATTTTCTTCCACACATGACCTTCACGCTATGTGACAAAATGCCCACCTCACTGTCCTTTTTCCTCTGTATCTACATATCATATGAGGAGCCATGCTGGAACACAACACTACTCTACTCCCATGTTACAAAAGCTGAGAGTTACACTGACTGCCAGGAAGGCTGGAAGAGACACACAGCGAAGCTGCCTGACCTCGCCCGAAGCTCCCGCTGTCCACGGTCCTGAAGAGCGCCTCTGCGCAGCCTGACACCAGCGGAAGCACCTGCTCCTTTTCCAGGGGCCTGAGGGAAAGAAGCAGCGCACAAAGGGCTCAGGGGCTTTCCAGATGGCCGGCTCATGACCAACACCTGCAGTCGCCTTGTCTTCTTACCTGACGTGCGGTAACACTACAAGCGCCGCCCACAACTGCGAGAGGGAAGTCGTGTCTTTATTTGGGGGTGACTGTATTCTAGACAAGAGATGGTCCAATACTGGACACCGCTGCTCTCCTTCCTGGGATCTAGTCTTCCTCTGCCTTAAGTGGGACCTGAAGAACAAAAAAAAAATAAAACACTTAAGAGAGGAGGGCTGCTGCCCTCTGAGGTCAGAAATGACATGGGTCCTGTTGTACTGAGAGGCCTGGGCGAGCAGGAAGCTGGTGCGGCTGGCTGATGACCAAAACCAAACATGGTCCTTTCCTGATTTTCAGAGAGAGAGACTTCCAACTCTACTGGTTCTAAACCTACTTATTTTTATTTCATAATTAATTTCTTCAGGTATAATTATTATTTCTCCATTACATGCTAAGAACTAGAGCTTTCTCCATGCCCTCTTTCTTCTTTTTTCTTTGCTGTTTGAGACAGGGTCTCACTTTGAAGTTTAGGCTGGCCCCAGACTCACAGTGACCCTCTTGCCTCTGCCTCCTGAGTGCTGTGGTTATAGTCATGTGCCACTACACCTGGCCACCCCCTTTCTTTTTTGACACAAATCTGATGACTCCCCAAATGCAGAGCGAGGCTGCAGGGCTGCTGTGAAGACACAAACACCATGGAAATGGTGAGATGTGGAGTACCATCCTCCCCCAGCTTCCCCTGACGTGTTTGTGTGCCTTTGGTCTTGGGTCTCTGTGACACAAAAGTGAGTCACCCAGTGCAGTGTCCCTCCCTAGCCTCCTCAGAGATGCTAGCAAGCTCCGTGGAAGATACCCACTCCTCTGCTTGGCCACGTCCTTCTCACACAAGGGGCCTGACTACCTGGAGCCTACACGGGGGCCCTCCTCTGCCTGGAGTCTCGAGACCCACAAGCCTAACCCTTGCCACTGTGACAAACAGCGCCACCCAAGCCAGTATCCCAGAAGGACAGCCAGCGCCCCCAACCCCTCCACGGCACAGCACACACTTGCTGTTCTTCCCGGCACTGGGGAAATCCAACCCGCTCACCTGCCTCCTGGGCCAGCCCTGCAGGAGGAAGCTCCTCCACTACCCGAGACATGCTGACGCCACAAGGAGGCACCAGTGGTGGGGTGCATGTATGTCTCAAGGGCACCGTCATGTCAGTTTTCTCTCATGCTCACACTGAGCTTATGAAATGGGTGAATGGCAAGTTAGTGAGAAAACTCAAACTCTGATGGAACAGTCCTCATAGAGGAAGTCTGGACAAGTTGAGCATGCATCTGTACCTCTTCCTGGGCACAGGGGTAGGTGTTTCCCAGAGGAAGAGATACAAAAGTCACAGCACCCACCTTGAGCGCAGACCTCGACACGTACTTATTACCATACCAGGCCACCTCCCTGGAGGGGTGTGGTGACAGGCGACGTCATTCATACCCAGACTTCACCTCAGGAGCCACCTTCAGGTAGCTTCCCTGGCTAGGCCCACACCACAGGCAGGACTGTGGGAAGGCAGTGCTGCTGGCGCACAGCTGGGGCTATACGACCCAGTGTAAGGGCCCGGGATGACGTCACCAGGGCTGCAGCCAGAGCTCAGTGATGCTCGTTCTATGTGTCAGTCAGGAAGCCGCTTGTAAGGCAGAAGAGAAGCAGGCGTGACAGCCCAGGGCCCCAGAGCTACGAGCCGATCAAATGCCACAACGAACCATGTGTGCCGTGTATAGACAATACTCCCACTGCAAGTGATGCTGTGAAATTAAAGCTGAGCACATAGCAGACTCCAGAATACCCACCTCCTACTGCCGCCTCACAGCAAACACCCATGCAGCACTGGGTCCGACCAACGCAAACACTGGCCAGAACTGACTTCGCAGGCTATTACCTCCTCGGCATACCCGTGCACCCACTTGGCGAGTGCGAGCCCAGTCCTCCCAGACTTAACCAGACCCTAGAGTGTTCACTTAAGTTCTGGATGAAACAGGAAAAGCAACTCGTGGCCCTTTCAATAATTTAATGCAAAAGTGTAAATTTTTTTTTTTTTTTTAACATATCTGGTACAGAGTCTCACTACACAGCTTGGATTTGTAGCGATCCTCTTGTTCTCTGCCTCCCCAGTGCTGGGATAACAGGAGTATGCCACCACACCTGGTCTCAGAGGTGAATCAGTGTGCCTGGGGGTGGGGCCAGCATGGCAGGGGATGCTAGAGATTGAACCCCGGTCCCTGCGCTTGCCTAAGCAGGCGCTTAGTCCGCTGAGCTATGTCACTGGCCCAAACAGTAAAATCTACAAACGAGCAGTCACCCCTTTTCTTCCCTTACCCACCTCCTGACATCAGCAAAATTAACAGTTTTATGTATTCAAAAACCCCAGAGGCTTTCTATAGACACAGATTTATTATAAAATTTCTACAGAAATGCAAAGGACCAGGAATAGCTACACCAATTTGGAAACAGAAAAATAAAGTAAGAAGATTTTCATTTAAAGATTTTCATGCTTATTGTATACCTTATAGCTAGAGTGGGGAGACTGTGGCAAGGGGGGAGGAGAGAGGCGTATGTCAATGAACAGCAGCGGGCCTGAAGGTGGACCCACACGCCCTCCCCAGCTGCTTTCTGACAAACACACAAGGGCACCAAGGGTGCGAGAGCAGCTTCACAAGGAAGAAAAACTTCTTCCTCAAATAATGACCTCTTGACTAAACTTCAAGCCTTCTACAAAGAATAATTCACAATATTTCAGGACTTAAAATGTAAAACACAAAACAAAAAACTGAAAAAGAAACAGTAATAGAAAATCTTTGGACTTACGGCTATCCAGAAAAGGAAAATTTGATAAGCTGGACCTCATCAAAATGTAAAGCTTTATTTTCCCAGAAGAACCTTAAGTGAATAAAGAAAGGCTGCAGAGCGCAAGGTGTCTGTCGGCCACCTCTCTGATGAAGAGTTCCACATCAGAACAGTTCTCAACAGTGAAAGGAAACAGAGCAGTCCAGTTAAGAGGCAGGCATGGTGGCGCACGCCTGTAATCCCAGCACTCCAGAGGCTGACATCGGAGGATCAACAAATTATGAGGCCAGTATGGGCTACAAAGTGAGTTGAAAGCCAGTCTAGACTACACGGTGAGATCTTGTCTCAAAATAGGTAAATACATAAATAAATAAATAAATAATTCAGTTAGAAAATAGGCCAAAACTACCAGGTATTTCACTATGGAAGGCAGACAAATGTAAGTACATGAATAGATGTTTCACTGTGATAAGCCATTTAGGGGAAAACAAATTAAAAGTAAAATATGAACATCACTAAACCCCTATCAAACTGGAGAAAAAAGAACGAATTCCAAAAGCTAGGAAGACATAGAAAAACTGGATCATGCACACACCACAAGTGAAAATATGAGAGGGCTCAGCCACCCCGGCACTTCTTAGGAAACCAGCCAGGTGCCTATCACACAAGCCAGCAACACTGCTGCCCACGGCACACCAGACATAGTGCGAACATCCTGCGACAAGAGATTAAATAAACCATGCTCCAGTCACCGCAGGGAACAGTCCTCAGCAGTAAGAAGGAATGAACTTAATGACACACGACTTGGATGAACCTCAAAAGCAAGTCCATCCTAAAGGTGTACACTATAATTTATCCACACAAGAGGAATGACAGAGTCTTAAAGATGAGAGACGAGAAGGTGAGACGGACTGAGGATAGAGGGGCTGGATGGGTGAGTGCGACTACAGAGAGGCAGCCAAAAAGTCGGGCCTGGGAGGCTGAGGCAGGAGGATCTCCTGTTCACGCCTGTCCTCATCAACTTAGCACCTTGGTGGGACTGTATCAAAAAAATTGTTTTTAAGAGGTTGAGGATGTAGCTCAATCTTGTGTGAAGGCCCTGGGTTCGACCCTAAAAACAAACAAACAAACAAACAAACAAACAAAAACAAAGGAAAAGGAAAAACAAACAAAAAGCCTGATGACCCTGTAGTGGTGCCACGGGTCCATCTTCGTGCTGGCAGTGACAGAGCTGCACAGGCACACAGCTGCGTGTGCGCACACACATGGGAGTGCACTTCACACCGAGGAGACCTGGGTGAGTAGCGGAAGGCCCACGGCTGCCTTCTGGCTATCATACTGCGCTGTACTTAGGCAAGATGGTGCCGTGCGATCGTGGCAGCTTTCTGTGCTCCTTACACAGCATATGGACTTACAATTACTTTAAAGTAACTCTCTCCCACCTGCTCTCTGATAAAAGCGAAGTTAACAGATCTGGGTCTCCTCTCCTGCATTCCATGCTTGTTTTCCACATTCTCACTGTGCAAAACGGGGTCACCCCACGGCGCTGTGTGTACAGCCCTGTGACGGCCTTAACCACGCTGCATTTATCCTGGACGCCCCGCCAGTCGCTGCAGACAGTCCTTGGCTCCTCACAGCGCCCCTGCCACACGCTATTAGCTGGCTCTCTGAGCACCATCTCGGGGCTGGCTTGGAACTCACCGATCAGTCCTCGGGCAGAAGAGCAGAGGGTACTTTTCAATCGCCATGGAGCCAGCAGCGGGAGGCGCTGCTTTGTGCAGAATGAGCTTGGCCAAGACAGCCAGGGCTGCATCGTGGACCACAGAGTCATCAGTCAAGAAGCAATCTTCGATGTACGCGAGAAAGCTGGGTAGAAACAGCTGAGGACAACAAAGGAAATCACACTTACTGAGTGGGAAGATCCCAGAATACCTAACAAAAAAAGAGTACACACTGCTAAAAAAAAATACAGAGGCCACACACGTCTCTCATCCCAGAGGACTGCCAGGTTTAAGAATACTCCTGCAACTTTGTGAGATTGTTTCGAAATAAAATAATTAAAGGGCTGGGTGAACAAGTCAGAGGTAAAGCTCTTATTCAAGTCCCATTACCCCAATAAAACAAAACAGAGCAAAATGCCATCAATAATTCTAGCGTCATTAAACCCTCCGTAAGAACAATGAAAGCTAGAGCCAGGGAAATAGTTCAGTATGCACAGCATCTGCCTGGCACGCACAAGGTCCTGGGTTCGATTTCTGGTACAAAAAAAAAAAAAAGCAGCTAGAAGACAATGCAAGGCAGCAGCAGCTTAACAACAGAATCTAGACTTCCACATCCAGCTCACTATTAATGTAGTATACGGAGAAAAAAGGCATTTTCAGATGTAACACACCTTAAATTCTTACTTCCACTCACCTCAGGAACTCGGAAAAAATAATTTCTACAGAATGATGGAATAAACTCTATTAAAAGGGAAAGACGGGATCCAGCAAATAGGAGGAAGGCAAAGGGGACGTCATTTGGCATCTGAGCAGTGGTTTGAAAAACCCTCCAGACTGGGATTTTCCTGGAGGAATATTCACGAGAGCAGAAGAAAACAAACAAAGGCACAACTGCGCTGCCCGGCGTCGGAGGGTGTGCGCGTGGAAGGTGCACAGTGCTGTCCGGAGCGCCCCACTGAGCGACGTGCAAATCCAACCCCCAGCGTCTGAAGGCTGAGGCGATTTACAAACCTCAGGGCAAAGGGGCGGGAACACAGAAGGACACGACTCCTAACGTACTTCTCCATAGAGATCAAGTATGGAGCGCATCTAGATTCATCCAAATCCTGTGACAAAACTCTGCTGGGGCGGTGAGTATAAAAGAACCAAAATCCACCTTCTGCAGGAGGCAGTCTACAAAGAGTACAACTAATAAACCAAAAAAAGTGGTTTATTCAGATGACAGAAAGACAGAATGTAAATACTCAGAGAAATCAGCTGAAGATCATGCCATGCAGTTGCTGCTGGCGACAAGATGGGCATGGAAACCTCTGCTTTAGCCTTGTGGGAGGGTTTTAAGCCACGGTCCCACGAGGGTGCATACAAAACGGGTGTAAGAGCAGCAGGCTTGTGTTCTGGAGTCCAACCAGAGCACACATTAAAGACTAAGAAGAAGGAGACAGACACAGCTGGTGTCGACACACACTCAGAGGCCATTAATCTGGTATTAGTGGCAACTACTCAATTAGGGGAAAGCACACTCCTTATTCACAAGATTGGATTGTACTTTGTTACACCAGGTTATTTGTTTTGTAGCAGTGAAAAAAATAGTGAAGATAAACATGCAACCTGTCCTTCAATGCAAGCTACTTTAGGAACTATTTCCTTCTTCCCACATGGCCCTAAAACTAGCTCAAGTATTATTAAAAAAAACAAGCTGCCTACTGCTTATCTTATTTACTTACTCATTTTTAGTTTTTTCTGACGCAAAGTCTTCTTCTATAGTCTGGGCTGGTCTTGGATTCACACCAATCCTCCTGCCTCAGCCATCCAAGGGCAGGAGGCATGTGCCAAAGTGCCCAGCTCTGCCCGTATCATTTTGAATCTCTTAGCATATAAAACAAAGTTTTGGCTACATCCTAAAATTAAATGTATTTTTAAAAACTAAAACATCAGTGCTGATTCTGATCCTTGCAAGAAGCAAACAAAAATCTCACAAGATTTGAAATCTGATTATTTACCATGACTGACTTTAAAGAAACACCCAAAATGTAGTATCTTGCTTACCTGCTCAAACTGCTTCATTGCAAACATGACTTCAGAAAAATCAAAAATTAAACGTCTTTCCAATCCGCTCTCAAAAATCTGTGGATCACAGGTGAAGGTACATGAAAGGAAGCACACAGACAGCAACCTCGTTTCCCTGGAGAGCAGCTACAGCAGGGTTCAGGGCCATGTCATGCGGCATCGTGGGAAGGCTTAGCTAACTTGGATGCAAAAGCCACGCTCACCATGCTACCCGGGCTTGGCCGGAGGCTGCCGTGGCCCCACAGCTACAGGGAACGACAGGGCGCAGCATGACCACAGACCTACCCAAGGGTCTGGTGCACTGTGTCAAGCCAGAAGGCACCAAAATCATTTTCCGTTTCCTTTTTGTTTTTCTGAGACAGGGTCTCACTATGCAGTTCAGGCTGGCGTTGAACTCACTCTGTAGCCCAGGCTGGCCTTCATCACACAGTGACCCTTCTGCCTCAGCCTCCTGAGTGCAGGGACCATAGACATGTGCCACCATGCCCAGATTTTCCATTTTTATCCCACAGCTCTCAAACCATCTTCCAAACTCACTAGATCAAAAGTTCATCAAATTATGACCCTGCACAAACTCCTCCCAGGCACCCTCCCCCCACCGGCCTGCGGGATAAACCCACGCTAGCACCGCAAGGCCACAGCGATGGCTGCTGTCCCACCGCAGACCATGCAATGCACCCTCCCATGGCTTCCCAAGCCTTCTCCTGGTGTTAGGGGACAGTTACAGTTCACGGCTAAGAACCTCCAAGGACTCTCCCAAACATGGGTCCTTGGGAAAGCTTGCTGCTCCTCAACCCCTGGCTGAAGTAAGAGTTATAACTCAACATGTGTCCAGCAGCTCACTTCCATAACTGTGACGGCTCTGGGAGTCCCCTCCCAGGGCCCCCTGTAACTCAGTACTATGAGCCATCGCATGCGCTAAGCACTGACCGCACATTCTGCTTTCCCCACTTTATTCTGCTATTTCCATCACAGTGTGCCACCGCGTCTCCCTAAGTGACAGTAAATGCCCCGAGGTGGGTCCCCTCCTGGATCCCGAGTAGGCACACTCGAAGCTAAGCATCTTATCCATCTTATCAACTACTCAGTTCACACAGGTTGAGGGAGATTACCTTTTCTATGGTTGCTTTAATGAGGGTGTCCGGCAAAGAAACGTTTCCACCCAGGATCAAAGCAGAAATAACATCCAAGAGCATCTTCAGGCAAGACGTGGACAGACTGGCTATGGTCACTGTTTGAGACAACACCTGCAAAAACAATACCCAGTTAGCACTCGATTTTAACACTCGGAGTCGTGAGCACGCGAGGCTGGGCACTCACCTTGCAAACAGCAGCAGGGTTGGCTACCTTGGATCCATTTCCATGCTTCACGAGTATCAGGTACGTTTCCAACAACCTCTGAATCTGCTCAGAACTTTCACAGGAGTTCCCTTCCATTACCTTGTCATGTAGATCCAGGAGTGACTCCTGCACACAAAGAATTTAAGAGAGAAGTAAAATAGCAAACTCATGTGTTCATCCCATAGTGCAGACATGGAGACTGCAGCTTGAATTTCACATTCTTTTGCTTTGGGGGAAAAGGACACAGAAAAGGTGCATTTTCCAGGCCTCACTAGAGATACTCATGCCTGGCATTTAGGGCACATCGTCACCATGCTCCCAGCAGTGCTCCCATGGCCACCCCTCTCCGTGCTCCTCCTCCATGTCATGTGCTCTGTGGTCACACCAGCAGTGGGTGCAGAGCCGAGATTCAAGCTGGAGGCCTGGCTCCAGAGCCTCTCGTAACCACAATGCTCAGGACAGTGTATCAAAGAAGAAGAGTGCAAAGGGTGGAAGGAGGGCAAATCTTAGTGTAGGTACAAGGGTAGAGAGAACAATGTCAAAAACACAGCCCTGGGACCCGGAAGATGCCTTACTATGTACTTACATGACTTGATTTTAAAAGCTAGAACTCACCTGCAAGCAGTCAAAAAATGTACCAAAATGTTCCTTGTTGATACAGAGAACGGTGGATCTGGCCATGTGCTTCAGTGTTTCTCCTACTAAAATCCACGGAAGTTGAGTCTGTGTTTCAGTAACTGGTCCTAGCTTCTGCAAAATTAGCTTCACTGCCTGTGGGAAAGCAAGAACCAGCACAAGAAACAGAAAAATCCTTACTCATCAGTGTTCACACCTGGACTACATTAGCTGCCTTTAACTGTGGTCTGCAAGGATCGAGGCTATGGCAGCTTTCACGGTTCACTACGTGTCCCACAAGGAATTTCCAAACTGGGCCGGGGAATTTCATCGCACGGCTGTTGCTCCCGCCCTCCCCTCAGCCAAAATCACCTGCAGTCTAACCTGCTGGTACCCAGGGCCAAGAAGGCCACAGTGGCGCTGTACGCAGCCATACGCAGGGGCGCAGCCGCAACTCTGCCCACTGGAGCTTCCCTGCTCTCCTAACTCCTTTCTCACTTCTGCCCAACCCCCAACCCAGACTCCACACTCTCCTCCCATCACTTACCTGGCCAGCACAGGAGTGAAACATATTTCTAACACCTTTGCACATTTCAAAGAGTAATTGTCCAACCCCTTCCACTTTTTCTGGATGTTCATTAAGATCAAGAAACATTAAATTGAAAAGGGCATTTTTATCAGAGACCTAAAATACGAAATCAAAAATTACATTTATAGCATAAATAAATCCAAGTGAGAAATGTCACTTTTTATCCTACATACCCATATATAAACACTCAAGGGAAACAATTCTGAAAGGAAGAGATGTGTGTAGTATCTCAAAACATCACAACAGCATACTCTCCTCTCTTGTCACATAAGAGTGAGGAATCTATTCATAAGACAGGAAGGGAAGTACCAAGAGAAACTACACAAGACGACATTCTGTCTTTCAAAGGAAATGACACACTTATACTTAGAGCATAAGAAACATTGATTATCAGTTTTTTAGGGTTTTATTATGAAAATCTAAAAGTTATTAGGGAAATTTTAGACAAACACAAATAAAACTGTGCAACCAGTTCTTTCCAGGAAAGCATTACAAAAATTCCTATTCATCTCATCGCTCATGTATTCATAACTTGACATTGTGTTCACTTCTCTTACACACAGGCAGCGACCAAAACCTCACTAGCAAGAACAGAGAAAGCATCAGCTTTTCACATTAATTACTGAGAAAGGTCTAAACCTTACTTTTGTTCTGAGACAAACTCAGAACAGCAACAAGTATCTACTTATATACATAAAAAATTAGTCCATAGTAATCACATTAAAAAACACTATTAGCTCTACTTATCAGATTTTTGACAATTTACTAGCAATACATATAGAAAATATGAAACTAACCTTTCTCATCAAAAAAGTAAAGCTTTCAGCAGCGAAGTTTCTTATGTGTAGTTTTCTATGAGCCAAGAGTGTACTGTACATGCTACAAATGAGAATAAGAAAGTAGTTTAGTGATATTAGAAAGGACGTACAACGTTCCAACGACATGCCCAACACCACCAGCTACGGGTGGAGCGCGCAGAACATCCAGGTCAGCACTGCACTCATCTCCTGGGACACCCCCGTATCAGACAGGAGACCGAGGCCACGCACCTTAGGAGGCAGGTGGGGCCGAGCTTACGGGAAAGACCCCATGAGAAGCTGAAACTCGCAGCAAGTGTGAAGGGGTGCAGGGGAGCATGACCTGAGACTGAAACGAGAGCAGACACGGGGTGGGCCGCAGTGACCAGTGAAGAGGACAGGCTGTCTGTCAGAGGAGGGGCTGTGTGCTTGGGGGGGGGCGGCTGCAGACAAGGGCGCTGTGGTAGGAGGTAGCTCCGAACCCAAAGCAGAGGAACCTGGGCCAAGCTTACACCTGGGTAAGCCTGCCTACTTCCTCCACGTCACCAGTGGGCCCACTCCACACCGGTGACACAGGTGAGGACACACCAGGGCTGAGCATCTGCTCGAGGGTAGCCAGCCAGTAACTCCTATAATCACATGGCTAACCTCGCTTATTTAGTATTTTTTTAGAAGTATTTGGTACAGGGTCCCACTATGCAGCTCAGACTTGTAGTGATCCTCCTGTTTCAGCCTCTCCAGTGCTGGGATTATAGACATGTGCCACCATGCCCAGACTTGGTGGCCAGCTCAGTGCACTGCAGGCTGGGGCTGGCATAGCATAGGGTGCTGGGGATCAAACCCCAGTCCCCGTGCTTTCCTAAGCAGGCGCTTAGTCCACTGAGCTATCTCACCAGCTCCTGACCTTGTTTTCTTGGTGACGGAAGAGCACAGAGTTCTGCTCTACTGCTGCTACAACCCTCGTCCCTAATAGCTCCTTACTCACCACTGTTAAAAGCATTGGCTGAAGGACAAGTATCCTCAGGAAGAAGCATTTGCAGAAATACACAGGATGAGCCCAAGGAAGAAAGACCAGGCCGGGGGCAGAGGGAGCTGGTGAAGGGCCCCGGCAGAGGCTCTGGGGGTGTCCGCAGCACAGCCCTGACAGTGACGCCCTCACTCCTGCTGCTCTGGTATGGTCTAGCACTCCCACCGCCTCCTTTCTAACCCCTGAAGGTGCCAGGTATGCGCCCAGGCCGTTTTTCCTCTTACTGCAACACCATCTTTGTGAGAAGAGACTTCACCCATTTTACCTGACTGGGTCTCGAGGGCTTTACACACAGGCAGCATTCAATAAATACTCCAAGTGTGTACGTGCAGGACAGCAGCGAAAGGATCTGAAGTCCTGAAGACAACCGTACTGAAGCTGTCTCCAAGGAGCCCAGCCAGGAAGAAGGCTGGTACCACTGAGAGAAAATGGGCGCCCAACAGGGCCAGACAAGGACACGGACACCGACAGGCACTCAGTACACATTTAAGGAGTGCAGGGACACGCAGCAAGTTACCAAGCGTTGAACAGAAATGTGTTACGTTTCATTTTGACAAATTTGAGTGAAAATATGCAGGCTGTTGAAAGTGACGTACTGAAAGCCAGGAAGTTTAGAAGTGAGGAACCTGACGTGGGACACACTCAAGTGACGGCTTTTATGTCATAAAACCACAGAAAGTATGTTGTTTTGAAGAACTTTTTGGTTTGTTTACTGAAATAATCTTGATGTCTAATACATTTCACCAAAAGCTGCATGGAGAACTAATAAGGCTAGAAAATACTTTTTTCCTGCTTTGTTCAAAGAGGCTGCACAAAACCAAAGTCATTGTCCTGTCCTATACACCTTTAATGGGGTGTGGAGTGTAAACGGGCTGACTGCTGATCAATGGAAAATTTCACTCAACCTCACATTTAAAAAGATAGTATCTTTTCTTCAACTAAAAACCTACTACGAGGCAGGCATGCTGGCACACCTGTAATCTCAGCACTGTGGAAGGCTGAGGCAGGAAGAATGAAATTTCATGCCCAGACTGGGAAACTCATTCATGACTTAGTGAGACCCTGTCTCAAAATGGAAAACGGGAAAAGGACTAGGGAGGTGGGCCAGTGGGAAGGCCTGGTTTGATCCCCAGTACTACAGAATCCTCCGTCCTCTGTGCCTACACGCACTCAAAAATCTTGGGGATCTCTTTTGGCTCAGCAGTCAAGGAAACATGGTACACAATTTTCCTGGAGCTTACAGGTTTGTGAAGGCAGTGGTACACTACACACAAATAGTCCTAATAAAAGTTTGTAATGCAAGTGACAGACAGGCTGAAGATATACTCAGACAGTGTTTGCTTCTGGCTTAGGTGCCCAGAAGTAATCTGTAGAAATTATAAAACTGAGCCTGATGTGGTGGCACATGCTATAATCCAGCACTCTGGAGGCTGAGGCAGGACTATTGTGAGTTCAAGGCTAGGATGGGCTATAAAGTGAGCTCAAGGCCAGCCTGAACTGCATAGTGAGACCCTGTCTCAAAAAGAACCCCCCGCCCCCCACAAAAAAAAGAAAGAAAAAAACAAAAAACAAAAACGAAGTCAGGCTTCAAGGGTGGCACTGCTTCAGCTGCGGCGGAGACCTCAGATCAACACAAGACAGGCTACGTCCAGATGCAACAGGGGAGGCAGCAGGAGCAGGCTGGCTAGCAAGTGAGCTCTGCACGAGGACGCATCAAGCTGGAGCAGCCACCGGGAGGTAGAGGCCATCTCACCTGTAGATCCGGGCCATGTCCTTCACCATGAGCCTCCACAGGTACTTGTACAGGTACGACAGTGCGGTGAAAGCCCACTCCAGCAGCTCTGTGTCCTGCGTCTCCAGGATGGAGGTGACGGTCAGGAAGAAGTCTGGAAAGTGGGGGTAGAAGTCTGTCTGCAGGTCTCGCGCCAGCTGAACTACCAAGCTGGATTAGAAGAGAAGCAGCTGGTTATGTCAAGTTTTTAAGAAGGCTGTACATCTATTTAATGAAAAAAGACCCACATTAATTAGATTAATCATGATTAATTCAAACCACTTCTAAGTCAAGTTTTAAAAAGTCTAAAATTCTTCAAATCTTAGGAGTTCAGGAGGGAAATCAGGTCAGACAGTGTATTCCTTCATATTCCTCACCTGCTCCTACATCATGAAAGTGAGGGCTTAAGGAAGAAGTAACAAATGAACACTTGTATTCTGAGGACACTGCTTCATAGTAATGCCCTTTTCCCTGATATCCTCATCTAACAGAAGAGGTAAATTTCTGTCTTTAAACCACAAACACCCAATGTAAGGCATATACAGCTATGAAACACAATTTTTCTTAAAAATCCAGATAAATGCCATTGAGCCTTTTCTCAAAACTCTACTTACTCCAAAAGGGGTTGGTAGGCAAAACTGTTCTTAACTTGAAGATGAGTTTTCAGACTCTGAACGATCTCATTTTGATGGTAGACCAGCTGGTTAAATGACTGGCATTTGTCAATAACTTCCTTATAAAATTTTCCTGGGTGAGTAAAAAACAACAAAGGAATATGTGCTGCTTTTCTCTCACATCGTTACTGTGTGGAATACGTAAAGCACAAATATTGAGAGAATAAAATACACATGAAAGAAAACAATACCAAAGTGTTCTGTAAGGTTCAGCTCTCTCCATTTCAGCAGACCCTCAAAGAAGTAAGTTTCAACTTCCTGCCAAGATCAAAGTACTCTGTTAATCAGGTAACATGGGGAAAATTATCATCAAGTTAATAAGCACAATCATATACTAATATCTTATAACAATGATTAACAGTTTGAAAACTTTCAGGTTTCTTATAAAGGGGGATTAGCTAACAAACTTTAAAAAGCAAAAGGAGGCATAATATCAACAGACTTTTACAAAATAATGTTTTACAAAATAATGTGGCTGGTTTGGTTGTAGCAAATAACTTTTTAACAGGTCAAGAGGAGTCATACTTTGGAAAAAACCTTTTTCTGTGGTTTAGGCACAGAAAGCTGTGCTGATTCTTTCCAGCTCTTATAGTCTGTGTGTGGAAATATGGACTGCTAAAGCCTTATGGCAAAGTAGTCTGGCATTTCTATTAAAATTAAAAATAGGTTTTCCCTTTGATCCAGAGACTCCACTTTTATGAGCTACATCTTCTGAAATGTGTAAACATACACGTACAAAGATGTTTAGTAGGTTTACCATACTGGAGGGAAAGCATCAAACAGCGTAAAATCTAACAGTAGCAGAATATCTAGACACTTATGGTCCATACCTATAAAAGTGCGCTGTGTGGCTGTTTACATGAATTAAAGTACTAAAGTGCCAGGGTGGGGTGTAGCTCCGTGGTACAGCACAGGCACAGCATGCACCAGGCCTAACACCCAGCACAGACAGAACAGAAAAGAAATAATCGATCTCTATGTTGACCCAGAAGGATGATGTTGATATGCACCACGGTGATAAAAGCCAGTCACATGGTAAACTCTGTTGGGATCTAAGTTTTTCTGAACAACGTTTCTGTGCTGGGATCTAAGTTTTCCTGAACAACATCTCTATGTTGGGATCTAAGTTTTCCTTAACAATATCAAACACTTCCGTCAATGTTTGCCATCGCATAAGCACGAGAGACGAGTAAGAAAGACCACATAAATACTCAAGTGTCAACCCTTGTTTCATGGCAATACGCAGTGAAAGAGAAAGCCATTTTCTCAGTTTAGCACTTTGTTGTTTAGCTTGTTAACACAGTTTGAAAGACAAAAGCAATAACTTCTTGGGGCCGGGGAGATGGCTCAGTAGAATAAGCGCTTGCTTGGCAAGCGTAATGGGCCTAAATTCAATCCCTGGTTCTGCCAAAAACAAAACAAAACAAAAACAATAACTTATGATAGATGTATGTGCATTTGTAGAAGGGAAGAAGATAGACAGAACAATTACACACACACCTGCAAACAGCATGCAAAAATCTGCCATCTCAAAAAAAAAAAGCAAGCTAAAAAACTCTTAAATTTAATTATGCCTTGGAAATCTTTAAATAGGCAGAGTAAAGAGGAAAAGACAAAATTTCATTAAATTTTGTTCAGTGTCCCCTAAGGCAGAAGAGACATATACTTTAGTTGAACTCTTCAGGACAAAGGTATTTTTTTGCCGAAAACAATGACTGACACATGACAGCCTTTTGCCAACAGGCCATGTCCCTGTAACTGTGCAGCTCTGGCCCCAGGACATGGGACCCACTTCTCCCTCAAATCTGGCCTGGCCTGGTGACTTGCTCTGACCACTAACATCCAATGGGAGCTACTCTGTGAGGCCCACAGCAAGGCTTGGTGACAGGCTTGGTGAGATCCTGAAGCTCCTGCCTACAGTATCTTGGAAAGATTCTTCCATGACAGAAGCCTAGTGTAGCACACTGGACAGGAGAGGAACAAGGACAATCAAGACCCAGAAGGCCCAGCCAACGGAGAGGGTGTGAGCAAGGCCAGGTGGCCCACTCAGCCCCAGGACCTATCCCAGGCTCTCCTCACTACCTTTGCACCCCAGCCTTCCATACTTTCAAGCCCTCCCGAGATGAAAATGGAAATCACCTGTTGAAAGCCAGGTCTCTAACTCCCCTCTGAAATAACAATCGCTGTATCCACGTCCTAATGTCTCTTGGACACTATCAGTTGCACACCACAGGTGTACCAAGTTCAACAACCCTCAGGGCAGCTTCTGTAATTATCCAACCCTCACAACCTCAAGCTCCTCTTCCTATAAACCAATCTCCGTGAATGACCTCCTCAACTACTGAGTTATGGAACCAATTCTCTCTCCCTGCATAGCCAGTAGGTCCAAGTCTGTCCATTCGTTTCTACCTCTGAAATCTTTCCTTCTCTCTGACTACGAGAATCATTTTTTTTCCATTTGTCTCCAATTCCTGAAACTGAAAGACACGAGTGTCAGTCAGTCATGTGTCACTGGAATTGTTGTGGCACTAGAATGGAACCCAGTAGCTACAACCAAGTTAAAAGGTTACGAGTAGTGCCGATGAGAATCATTTCTAACTTATACAGATCCTTATAATTGGCTGTGCTGACTCCAGTCCTGCTCCTTCCTCCATACTGAAACCAGAAAGATGAAAACTTTGAACCTGATCACATCACTTACTCCCTTGCTTACAACCCCGAAGGAAACTCGGGACAACTCCAGGATAAAATCCAAGCTTGGCTGGCATATGGACCTTTATGACCTGTGCCTATCTTGCCATCTATCCCTTTTCCTGTTAAGGAACCATAAATACACACACAAACACTAACCACATCCGTAAACACACCAACCTGCTTTGCAGTGTCTTGACCGAGACATGCATTCCCTGGCCTCTGTTCCTTTATATGAGTTTCTTTTTTTTTTTTTTTTTTTCAAAGTTTTATTGATAAACAGATAGCAATGAGACAGTTTCAAATCAAATTGGAAGTACAGTTTCAACAAATAATACACTGCATATATTCTTCTTAGTGGTTAATTGCTGTATGAGATGCGGACTTGTGATCCTATTTACAAACACCATTAGAACAAATCATTCTATTCATTAAGAGTTATATGAGTTTCTCCCTCAACCTGAAATAGCTTTTCCTGTCCTCTGTGCCATGCCAAAACCCATACAAACAACAAAACTCAACTAAGGTATTATCTTGTCTCTAACACCTCTCTTGACACTCTGTATCTTCCCAAAGAATTTAGGTTAGGCTCCCTTCACTGAATTCCTGAAGTATTATGCACTCACCTAAAGAACATTTAACACATTGAACTTTATATGGCAGAGGCAATATTTTCAAAGTAAGTAGAATTTGAAAAATAGTAAGGACTGAGATTGAATGGAGTATTATGCAAGATCTTACAAGGCTAGCAGAGAAATGATGACTTGATACACCAAAAAGAAAGAATATCTCTACACAGAGGGATGACAGTTCCAGTGTGGAGCTGGAAAAACCATGTAGCCTAGCACTGTGACAAGCACCTCCTACCTAAAGGGGCCATACTCTTGTTGGATTTTTAGGCTGTCTGTTCCTCCTCATAGTGAAGCTGAATAAACATCTTAACATCTGCACATCTAAACTTTGGAAGAAAGGGAGCCACAGGAAGGTGACTCGCTCAAAGTCATTTTAAAACCACAGCTGCAGAACGATGGCTGCAGCAGTGCTTGGAAGCACCCTGAAAAAGAGACGACTGAAATCATAAAAGTTGGCCGAGTATCGGGTCAGGCTGGCTGCCTGCAACAGCTTCCCCCGCAGGCCTTCCTGTGTCTGCACTCGCTCATCGTGGAAGCGATGGGCCACAGCCTGTGCATTTCATGTTCACAGAAGAAATCGCTTAAGAACAAGTCGTTTCTATTAACAGGCCACATTAAAAGTCTATGAACCCTTGAAGACTGGCTACTCTCACTTTTTCTTACCTCATCATAGCTTGCAGTTCTATCGATTCGGTGAATAATATCAATATTCACATTGCCCAGGCGCTCGGCAAATGTAAGAAACTGCGAGGAAAAAAAGTTAACATATGTCACCATTCAATACTCATTGCATCCCGAGGATTTCAGGGTAGTGTAACAGTCACACGTGGGTAGTTGCCTTGTCAAAGTAGAAACTGTAAAGCGTCACTCAGTAATCCTCTCTACCTACTACCATTACAGATAATGCTATGCTGGGCTCAGTATTTCAGACTGTGTAGTATAGCAATCATAAAATGTATAACTGTTAAACTAAAAGTATACGTCAATGCGCAAAGAATACGGGTAAAAATAACCCAAAAGTCATGGGCCCTTAAATGCGCTGCATTAGTATTCGAAGATAATAAATACTACATTTAAGGGCTGGCCAAATAGCTCAGCGGATTAAAGCACCTGCTTAGGCAGATGCAGCGGCCAGGGATGGCGATTGAGACTGGCTGGGCGCGGTGGCTGAGCCTGTAATCCCAGCTCTTGGGAGGCTGAACACAGGCAGATCACACGAGTCCGATCTACACAGTGAGACCCTGTAGACTCTTACTAAAATCCAAAAAAAAGTAATAATAAAAAATAAATATACAAATACTACGGGGTTTGCCTCGTTTGCCTAAGTCCTTCCAGCTACTCCATGCTAGCCTGCTGAACCTGGCCATGAACACGGAGCTCCGGTGAAGTCGTTGCAACAAGTGTCAGTCACAGACGACACTGTAACGAAAACTCAGAAGGAAACTTACGCTGCGCAGAGGCGCTGCTACTACGGCTTAGCTGAAGTCACTCACTCGGCCGCGGGCCTGTCCCCCAAGGGTCTGCCCCCCAACTCCGTTTGGAAGTATACAAGATCGGGAAAGTTTCCGCCCTAAGCACGCTCCTGGGATAACGAACGTTACTCTAGACGGGAAGTTCCCCCAAAGGCAGGGTCCCCCAAATGAATCCGACCTCCCAAACCAAAGGCGAAATCTGCTACTCAAATCTCACTATTTTCGCGGTCCGCATCTACTACACCCTTGGGTCCCACTGTCGCCAGAGCCTCAGGCGAATGAGTCCCGCTCGCCAGAGACTCCGCAGCCTCAGGGGCCCCGACGGCCGTCACCGGCCGACGCAGCAGGACCCGCAGCGCCGGACCCAGGCTCCCGCGCTCACCCGGTAGGTGTTCTCCGTCTTATGAGACACAGGCTTTATCTTCATGGTTGCAGAGGGGCAAGGCCCGCAGCGGCCTCCGGAAGAATCAGAGGGATGAGAACGGAGCTCACACGTGGTGCTCTCAGCTAGCCAGCGACCCGGTCTTCCTCACGTGCGGCTTGCGCATCTGGACACCGCCATCTTGGAGGGGGAGGGGCTTGGGTGATCACGTGGGCGGAAGAAGCAAACGGAGCAGGCGCACTCCCCGCCTCCGCGGGAGGCGGGGCGGGCGTGGAGGGGGAGGGGTGTGATGTGGGCGGTGGAACGGGGCGGGGCGAGCGGGGCGGGGCGGGGCGAACGGGGCGGGGCGAGCGGGGCGGGGCGGGGCGAACGGGGCGGGGCGAGCGGGGCGGGGCGGGGTGGAGCGGTGAATGCGCAGTTCCTCGCTACAGCTCAGGCTAGCTCAAAGATGTGCGCAGCGTTTTCTTCACGAAAGAGAACGTGCGTGTATTTGTCAGCTGGAATCTACTGGCCTTCGCTTTGTACCCTGTACCTTGTAAAAGCTGCTCCCATTCATAATTTCGCAGTAAAGTTCTTGTGAGGACTAACTGTAAAGGAGATTTTACGAGGTGTGATGGAAAGATACTGTGAATATTTGCACTAAAAAAGAACTCATTACAGTGAAAGAGATATGGCCAGGCACGATGAGACACGTGTGTTAGAAGAGAGGGGGGTATTCTACGTATTTTGAGGGGGATTTATACCATGTATCCTTTACTGTAAGACGAGCTTTTAGAATTTACCGTATTTTTCACCATCCCTCACTGAGCACATATTTACAGTGATTTCTCTCACATAAAAGCGTTACAGTGTACTCGCACACCTTGTCCACTGCGCCTGGTACCCTGTGACTTCTGGCTCCTCCCAAATCAGAATGACCAAGAAGAGTAAATGGGTTCCGGTCCTTGCGGCAGCCAGGACTGTGCAGATAAAGAAAAAGGACATTTAGCACTGCTTTGGAAAATGGCAAGAAGGGGAGCACAGGTATCCCAAGCTAAGGGCGTGGGAATCGATAGCAAAGCGCCTTCCACCGTAATGGTTTTAAAAATGTCAACATTCAGCATATTTAAAAACTCAGATCTTATGCTATTTTTAAGCCCATGCGACACAGGAGGAAACTCCGATTGCGCAGCTTCTTAGGTGGACATCTTCATTCGGACTCCACAGGTTGGGATCACTTGTGAGGTCGGGTGCTGCTCGTCTTCATTTTTTGTTTTCCTTTGCCCATCCTGGGGACTGAACCCAGGGACTTATACATGCCAAGCAAGTGCCACACCACAAAGCCACCTTTCTAGGCCCGTACGTTGATCTTCTTAACTGTTATATTCTAAATGAATCTGAAAAACAAAAGGAATTTCAAAGAAAAAGCGTTTAATTCCATGCACAGCCGCTGTTACTGTTTCAGTGTTTTCCTATCACTTTGATGTCTGAGAACTGCGTGTGACCAAGTGTAAGTGTACAAAGGTGTGCACATTTTATTGGTGCGTACTTACTTTACAAACTGTTGCGTTTCCTAGTGGCATTTTAATGTGATATGTACACGTGTCAGCTTGATCACACACACCCCCTCCAACACCCTCCCCGTACCTCTTCTCTCCCCCCATTCTCCTCTTCTGTCTAAAATCCTTTCCTTTCCTTTTTCATGTCATCTTGGTGGAATGTTTAAAATTATTCTTCCCCACACTGGAGAAATCTTTCTGAGTCTAGCTTTCTTTGCCTAACACGATAACCTCCAGTCTCATCCATTTTCCTGTCATTCTTTGCAGCAGAACAATACTCCGCCGCACACACACACTTCCTTTATCCACTCACCCAGTGGTGGGCATCTAGGTGGGTTTCCTATCTTGGTTGTTGTGACTTCTGTATGCACAAATTTTAAATAAAATATTTTGATAGAATTTTCATCCATTTAATATTTATTCATTCAACAAATATTTATTTTCTTTTTATTTATTTAGTTTTTTTTTTTTTTGAGACAGGATCTTGCTGTGTAGTCCAGGTTGGCCTTGGACTTACTGCATAGTCCAGGCTGACCCTGAACTCACAGTGATCCTCCTGTCTCAGCCTCTTGAGCTCTGGGGAGTACTGGCAGGCACCACTGTGCCTAGCTCAACCAATAGTTCTTGACCCTAATGTGATTCAGGTGCTGTCCCGGCAGCTGCACAAGAAAGACAACGTTAATGTTAGTGCTAGTAATTCAGTTTGGACATATTGAGTCTCGGTTGCTGACATCTTAAGGAGAGATGTGAAATAGAAACCAAACATTGCTGCATAGGCCTGGCGGTGTGACCTAAATGCCTTAAATACACCAGAATGCCTCCAGTGGGGTACTGCTGGCTAGGAAGGGGTTAGTGAGGAAGAAATCAGAGGTGAGGAAGTGAAGACCATGTACTTTCCACATGGCCATTGACATTACAGGGGCAACATCTTTACATCAAAAAGTTGTTCTAGGGGCTGGTGAGATGGCTCAGTGGTCTAAAGCACCTACTTAGAACAAGCTAAGCTAAGCAAAGCACAGGGACTGCGGTTCAATCCCCCAGCACCACATGCCAGCCAGCCCTGCACCCTGGTGGGCTGAGCTGGCCACACACTAAATAAATAAATAAATAGATAAATAAATAAATAAATAAAGGTTGTTCTAAATATGGTAACGGCTCCACAGCCTTTCTGAATCGTACTTTTCTAATAATAAAATTATATTAAAGTATTGAAGGACCCAAAGTTTGGATTGTCTCCAACTGGCTTTTGTTTGTTTGTTTGTTTAGGTTGCACTTAGCCTTTTATGGCTCGCAGATTCCTGCAGACAGTGGTGGTACCTAGGGTGTACAGAGCCCCTCTGTCATCATTCCAGCCAAGCTGAGCATCTGATAACAGCTGTTTCTTCTAAACGAAAGCCTCAGTATTCAGGTTGAATTGCAGCGTTGGCACTTGGCAATAAGTGAGTGGGTGTTGGGTTGCAGCCTGGGCACTCCTCTCTAAAAGGCTCGCTGTCGCTGCCTTAGGGAATGTCTAGAAAAGCAAAGACTCACTCCTCAGGAAAATGTACATAAACTGATGCAAAGACATGTCAACAGCTTCAGAGTTACAGGCTGCGGTTAGCCGAGGGTAGGCAATCCCACTCTAAGTGGCATTTCTAGTCTGTGGTCAAAATTACTTCCCAAAATTGGCCCTTTCTTTCTTTGCTATTTATTTTTGTTAATGAAGTTAGTGGGTCGCTAAGGAGCACAGAGAAAAATGAAAATTCAAGAAAGCTGAAAGACCAGGTGCTTCGGAGGTATCTTTTGCCTTGTTTCTCATCCGATGACCTTCAGCCCCTGACAGTCCCGATTGGAGTAGATACAGTGAAGTAACGTGGTGATTCAGGGCACGGAGGCTGGGACTAGACGCGGCGTGGACCCTGCTTCTGCCCTTGGTAGGGGGTGATGTTGAGAGAGTCAGTTACCGCCTCACGTAGAGAAGAAGATGGCAGAAGCACCCACCTCTCTGGTGACTGCACAGGCTACTGAAGGTACTGGATGCAAATCACTTAGAGTGGCATCAGGAACCGAAAACGCACAGCCTCTGACAGATGATTCAGCTTCCTGAGTCTCCACTTCCTCATCTGTGGTGGAGGGATGATAAAACCAATCTTTCGAGGTGCACTGGGCGTGGCATAAATGTTTGCTGAGTGGATGCATGAATAGCTCTGCTCTGGCCCCTGCACAAGTTCCTGAAGGGTGGACACCGTGGACTTTCCCAACCTCGGGTCGCCTGTGCGTCCCTTCAACTGGTTTCCTTCTTCACATCCTGGCTCGAGCTGAGCTGAGCCTTAGCTGCGCGCCACCATCCTCTTGCTCCTCCTTCCTCAGTGGCTCTACCTGCTGCGCCCAGCCAGGACACCTAGGCACGCACGCCATTCCTTCATTCTCAAGCGCTGTCAGGAGCCCCCAGCAGTTCTGCTTGTCTCATCTTCGCTTGCTCATTGCACTTCCAGTTCCAGAGGACTTCAAGAGCACACGAGGATTTCACCTCGTGGATGCGGATGTGGAATTCTGAGTGGGCTTCTGGGTGGAGGTGCCGCCCACACTGAGGCCTGGAGGGAGACAGGAGTTGGCCAGGCGGGGAGGAGCGCGCGCCGATGGTGCTATCCGGCTTGATGAAGTGTAATCAAAGAATTATTGGGACGGCTCCCAGAGCTCTCCACATACAATGGCACTTCTTTTAATGAACTTAATTTGTTTTATGGTTTGGGGAAAGATGGCTGCATTTGCGTTTGTGTAAAGAAGATCTCCATGGTCATGTTTCTTTCTCAACGTGGACTTTGCAAATAGAAAGAAGATTTTGCCAAATGCTTTTGTTGGCGAACCACATTGTTGGCGAACAGAAAAGTCCGTGAACTGAGGTGTTACTGTGTATTCAGTGACAAGAATGACAAGTTTTGGGGCCGGGGAGATGGCTCAGTAGGATAAGCGCTTGCCTGGCAAATGCAAAGACCTGAGTTCAATCCCCGGTTCTGCAAAAAAAAAAAAAAAAGAAAAAAGAAAAAAAAAGAATGACAAGTTTTTGATGCTCAAGGAAGAAGCCTTAAAATTGATGCTTCCTCGTCTCTTATGTACCGTCCCTTGACCTGTGTGTCACATACCTCTGAGAACACAAAAGTGCATCATAAGAGAAGGAAAAGGAAAGCTACAGATGGGGAGGGAACTATTTTCAAAATAAAAATATCTCATAAAATACCCGTTCCTCAAATATGCAAAGAACTTTTAAAGCTCCAACAGTAAAAAGTTAAAAGCTGAGCACAAGAGCTAACCAGATACCTCCCTGAATGACATATACAATGTGATAAGATCGTCAATAGTTTATGCTATTGAGACCTGAAAATTCAGGCAACGTGATACCGCGGCATATTGCTGGAATAGCTGAGCTCCGAAATACTGATGACACAAAGTGCTAGGGAGGGCACAAAGCAGGAGAAACAGGTTCATCCTGGTATGAATGCAAGATGGACGGCTTTGGAAGACACTTCCAGGGTCTCACAGAGCTAACGATGGGCATACCATCGTGCCGGTATAGAGTTATACAAATGAATAAAAAACTTACATCCACACCAAAACCTGCATATAAATGTTTATGACTGAATATTCTTTTTTTAAAAGATGTGCTTAG